ATCCCGTTTTGCGTTTCTCTGACCAGTGTTGTACCTGGTTTTATTATGAAGACTATTACAGATGGATTTGTAAATTCCTAGCTTGATTTATATAACATTGTTTTTCTAAAAACATGGCGAAAATCTATTTAAGGCTATCTGATAACAGGATAACAAAAGTAGATATCCATAAATATCAATTTTTTCCCCCCATCTATTACTGCATGTGAACACAATGAAAAAAATTTTTTAAACCTGGCTTTATCTAATAGGCTATTCAGATTTCGTTTTTTTTTTTTTTAATATATGCAAATTCGCACATATTTAATTAGACAATGCCTAATAATTTAAGACTTGAGACTTGACTTGGACTTCCAAAAAATGACTTGTGAACATCTCTGCCACACACACAGACACACACAGATGAAGATCTGCTCAGGGACTAATCAGATAAATGTCTTTGTTTAACATGAATCTATTTGTTTGGGACACATCAGTTTGTTTAGCAAGAGTACGGTAAGATGAATTTGTTTAGAAACAATCGTGCCGTTTAGGTCAGGAGAAACTTATACGAATAAATATCAACTGTTTTTGGTTAAAAGAGTCTGAATAGATCCACGTTCATCAATCAGACGGTGTGTGAGCTGGGGTTTACCTCTCGACATAAATACTTTTACTGGTTCCAAGCGAGTACAAACTGTTCAATATCCGATAGCAGGACACCTGGACATCATCCACTGCAACGACACACAACAAACTACACGATTAGATAACACCAGTTCAGCTCAACCAGTGAACAAGCAATGATTAAAGTTTCACTGGTCGTCACTGTGTGAAGAATATCTCGGTTTACTTTATTCTGCTCTCCTCATTTACAGAAATGAACTATAGTCCTGCACACACTAGTGGAAACACATTAAACATGATGTCTGGTGTGTGAGTGTGTATGGTGTAGAGGTCAGCGGACTCACGGATGAGATCCTCTCCGAACATGTTCTGTGCGATGTGCTCGAACAGCGAGGACAGCACCGGCAGCAGCGCCACTGTCGTGTAGTTGATGATCTGTGTGACGCCCTTGGGTTGCGACCGCGTGTGTGTGAACTGACCCTGCCGCAGGTTCTCCAGGGTTTTCTCCAAATCTTCCGATGCGTTCTCGAAAAACGCCCTCAGAGCCGCCTTGACAGAGTCCTGACCGGTTTTCATCACCGTCCTGAACACAGAAGGAGGTTATGAGCCTTTCATATACAGCCAAACTAACTAACTCACACACCTTCAACATTTCTCACATTATCCCTCTCACACATGAATGATGGTGAATATCTGTCAGCTGTTCAATTGAACTACACAATTAGATAATACCAGTTTAGGTTAGATAATGCTTCATGTTGTTCAGCGTGTGTGTGAAAAGAGCATTAGCAGATACAGAAAACACACTTCAGCAAAACATGATCCGATCTGAATAATTTTTGGTCCCAATATTCAGGTGTTCAAGCACAAAGTGCAGAAAACCTATTGTATTTGTTTTGTGAGGATTTTTTGGAAAAAAAAAAAATCCCCTAAAACGCATTGTGCAGCCCAAACCGTACCGTAAGGCTTAGAGGCAGTAAACCTGGCCAGATGGTAAGGCCTCAAATTGAGTATGAGCCTGATTGGCCCAAAGGCAAAATTTTCCGCTATCGAATTTTGTCCAAAACCTACTTTTAAGAAACTGTTCCCTGTTTTTTTGCCGGATCGGAACCAGACCAGTCTAGGACAATTCTCTGGACTCTCTAGATCAATAATTCTCAAAAAATTTAAATTTTGCATTTAGTTGGCTATAACAGGGTCATTTAGAAAACACAGAAATTGATGAGCATATGTGTCCTAACATTGTCAGGAAGCATGCAAAGTTTCATGGAGATCGGACCATAGGTGGCGCTATAACCGTCAAAAAGGTGTTCAAGCAAGGTAAATCATGCTAGAATCATGGTAAATAATGAAAATCACACTGAAATGTAGTGTCTCATGGTAAATCAAGCTATAACATGGCCTATTCCATCTATGATCTCAGTGGTTAAATGCTTGCTACATAAAACGTAATGTCTTTTGATGCTTTTGTGCTTAAAGGCCTGAACTGCTTGAACACCGCTAAATGCTGCTCGCAGCTTTAATGACTTTTTTTTCACTGGTAGTTGCTGTATGATGAATTTTTGGATGTAATATGTCCCAGTTTACTTTATTTTGCTCTCCTCACTTACAGAAATGAACTATAGAGTCCTGATAACACTATTGGAAGAATATGAGAAATGATATCTGGTGTGTGAGTGATCTCGGGTTTGAGTGTGTATGTTGATCCAGTATAACATGAGCTGTAGTGACGTGTGTGTGACACACCTGGCGTCCAGCGTTTGTCCCAGTATGTGAAGGCAGTTCACGATGGAAGAGGCGTCATTCCCTGAGAGAAACACACACACACACAAACACACACTGAGTTCCCAAACACCTTAAACCCCAGTGTATGAACATGGAAGTGATCAAACATCAGCACTTGCAGCTCCATCAGCACTTCTAGGCTCATCTGAGCACCGATACACAGATTCAAGAGCAAAACACACACATTCAAACATCTTACCAAACAACGAGATCCGGTGCCGCACCAGAACGCCCAGTTTGCAGAACAGGCTGAGAGAGAGAGATGAAGAAACAGAAGAGCAGGAGCATTCTGGGTAAATTACAGCTCTGTGATTCGCCACAGATAATCATTTAGAAGAATCTCGGTCAAAACAAACACTGACTTCAAACTATACATGCTGACATGAATCATGGATGACCTTGAATGACCTCAGGCACTTTTCACAATATGTAAAGCGTATGATATATATACAAGCTCAACTACAGGGTTCGTACAGAGACTGGATAATAAACTTCTCACTTATCAAACGATTATCTTTCAAATTCTAAAAAAGGTTAATAGAGAAATAAACTAATACATATAAAGTGCAGCACATGCAACGACTGTAGACTTCAACCATTGAAACGAAGATATTTCTTTATTCAAACTGATTTTTTCTACTATGAATATATGATTGACCTGAAGAATGAAAACACTGTCATATACGTGGATAATTAAGAACAATATCACGCAAATGACAGCAGCGCTAATTTCGTGTGAAAAGATTGTTTTATCAGTAAAATTAAGCAATAATAATAAAAATAGTTTCCCCTGTAACTATATTATCATCCAGCTCTAATATAATAAGACGTTATAAACATTATCATGATGATTTTCTGTCAAGCTGCTTTGAAACGACGTGTGTGTGAATAACGCTGGATGAGATCTAGACATTACTGCTCGTCACCTGGTCACCATCTCCTTCTCTTTGTTGGAGGCGTGGCCGCCGCTGCTGATTGGGCGAACAGCCGTGGACAGGAAGTAGAGCCGGTGGTTTTTGAAGTATTGATCCACCAGCGGAAGCACGACCTGGAAATGAGCCGAATAAGGATTGGATGACAGGATGAAGTTAATAAGCGACTGAGATGAAGCGAGTCGGAGTGAAGCGGACCTTGCTGAAGAACTTGACCTGCTGCTCGTGAGGGATTCTCTCTGCTTTCGGCCGAACTCCAGCATCTGAAAGGAAGAGGAGAACGGTCAGGATCCGGCGGCGCACCGGTGCACTCGAGCGGCAGAGCGAGCGTCTCACCGAACTCCAGCATGTGTGTGTGAGCCTCGTCCACGCACGAGATCAGCTGCAGCAGGAAGGTGTACGCGAAGCGCTTCTCTATGGCCGGAGTGTCCAGATCCTGCTCTTTCATCGCCCTGCTCACACACACACACACACACACATACAAACATTTTCATACTCAATATTAAATTAGTTCTTTTGTTCTAGAGAATTACACTATTGTTCAAAAGTTTGGAGATTTATTGACACTTTTATTCTTCAAGGACGCAATAAAAAGACATTTATAATGTTACAAATAAATCCTGTTCTCTTGAACTTTCTGTTCATCAAAGAATCCTGAAAAATAAAATGTATCACAGTTTCCACAGAAATATGACCTGAGTTCAACACTGATAATAATCATAATATCATCAGATCCTCATATTAGAGTGATTTCTGAAGGGTCATGTGACACTGAAGACTGGAGTAATGATGATAAACTCAGGAATAAATTTCACTTCACTGTATATTCATGTAGAAAACAGATGATTTACATTACAATAATATGTCAGTGTTTTACTGTTTTTGATCAGATAAGCGACTGCATTGATGTGGTGAGCAGAATACACTCTTTCAGAAACATAAATAAGACATTAAATATCTAACCATCCCCAAACTTTTGAACAGCAGTGAACATGCATCAACATTATTTATCATTACTGATCATTGATTATGAATATTTATGAATGAGAAATTAAACAATGACCACAGATGGATGTGAAGCAGGCAAACACACACAAGAAGCACACACACACACACACACACACAGACACTCACTCACTCACTCACTCACGCACACGCGCACACACACCCCCGTTCACCTGGAGACACTGTATCCGTTGATCTGGAAGAACTTGAGGATGTCTTGTGCTTTCTCCCGGTCTCTGGATTTCTCTTTGGCGGTGAGAGTGTCGTAAGGAACCAGTAATGGATGACTTCCACCTCCTGACAATCCAAACACACACACACACACACTGGTGTGAGAGCAGTGCCATCTAGTGGTTGCACGCAGGTTTACATGTTCACACACTCAGACAACATCACTCATTATTCTGAGAAAATTCCACCAATCAGAGTCACAGTAACTGCCAAAAGTCAGTAAGCTCCGCCCACTCTCATGAAGCAGAGCGAATGATAGACACAGCGAGTGTGTGTCAGTAAAGATGGCACACCTTTGGCTTCCAGCTCCAGCTTTTTCTTCTGAGCCCAGATGTTGTGATAGTTCTCGGCCAGCAGCTCCGCCATCGACTGAAACACACACACACACACACACACAGAGAAGCAAGAGGTTACAAAAGTCAATCTTAAGGCCCGTTCACACCAAGACTGATCACTATAACGATAGCTATATTTGTGTCCACACCAGCGAATGCTAATGGTCTTGTTATTCTTAGCTTGCGCTGCGTTTGGAAGTGTGTGCGCGTCAGGGAACGTGTTTTTGCTGTTGCATTACAGGCTTTAAGCAGGAGCTTCACTGCATGAGGACATCTGGTGTAATCGATCTGGTGAATTCGGCTGATTGTCAGTACATGGAATAAAAACAACACTTTTTTACACCGCAAGACGATGTTGAGGAAGCGAGCGCTGGAAGCCGGGGGTTACACTCCGGTTTATTCACAGGGTACGAATGACTGTCCTCTGTTTCCATTAGACTTGACTTGTCAAACAGGGGATTTTTCTTGATTAATGTCCTCAAAGACCACAATGTCGTCTGACATATCAAATACGTGAGCTCTTAAATTACAGTGGATTCTGATTGGCTGTCAGTATCTGTCGCTGGTGTGAACGGCTCTATAGCGTGCGCTGCGCATCGTCCACTCACGTGCAGGTCTCTGGACAGCGTCACATTGCTCATGTCTACAGGCCGAGGACTGAAACCATGAGCGCCCTCTATGGAGCGCTGTGGGGGTCAAAGGTCACACTCATTAGTATTCAGATTTGATCGCAAGTAGATCATGTGACTCCAGTGGTTCAATCTTCATTTTATGAAGCCACGGGGAAAAACTTAATTCAACCATGTCTTCACTTTGTGGCGTTTTTAATATGTAATCATTCACAGGACATACCCTGCAATCACAGATTCACAATATTCTAATTTTGAATTTGGGGTTTTCATACTCACCAACATTATTACAAATAAAGGCTTGAAATATCTCACGTTGCATGTTATGAGTCTATATAATATATTAGTTTCACCTTTAAAGTCTAATTACTGAACGTTTGCACCATATTCTCATTTTTCGAGTTTCGCCATATGTAAATACGGGAATGTGAAGCCAACTATCACCATTAAAAAAAGACTGCGTGTGTGTGTGTGTGTGACCTGGCTGGAGAGAGAGATCCTGCGCGTGCGGCTGTGTAGCGTGGACACCTCGCTCTCTCTCGTCCTCTCGATGCTCCAGCTCCACGACAGCATGGTCTTCAGACTCTCTCGGATCGGCCAGCGGTAAACCTCCTTATCCTGAAGCACAGAGCAAACACACGCGCTGGCATCACTGCGCTTCACTCCGACGCAGCTCACCAAACACTTCCTGTACCTTCTCAGACAGACACTTGTACGGCTTCAGCAGAGGATGAACTTTAGACGACTCGCAAATCTGCTCTCCGTGAACCCAGCCGCCGGCGAACTGCAGATCAACACACCGATGAACTCATCAACACTGGGTTAATGTTAAACTGGTGCACACACTCGATAAATTCAGAAATATAGAATGAGAGGAAAGCCGCTCTGACCTTCTCCATGGACCACTTCTCATGGGAATATTCTGCGTATTTATTGATGAAATGATCCAGCTTCTCAGGAACAACAACACTGCAGAAACACAAGCAGAACCAGCGGCACATCTGAACAACAGCTCAGTGCAGGTCTGAATGTGGACGTGTGTGTGTGTGTGTGTGTGTGTGTCTGACCTGCTGGTGTCGGCCGGCTGCGGGTTGAAGTTTCCCTCGGCGTCCATAGACGACTGTTTCTCCATCATGGCCACGTAGTTTGACTCCATGTAATCAGGAGGTAAAGCTCCGGCCACTGCGCTCAGACACGGCAGCGCCAGCTTGAACAACTCCACGTCATACTTCTGCACACACACACACTTAATATTGTGCACCATTATATGAGAACTGAGCTGAGCTGGGCGATGATGTCACTGTGTGAGCAGTAAGGTACGAGAGCTAGTGCTGGATGGTGAGAAGGCCGTTGTTCGGCGTGAGTCAGTCGTGACCAGTGTTGGGTGTGACTAATTACTAAGTAGTTAGTTACTGTAATTTAATTACTTTTCCCTTGAAAATGTAAAGTAAGGGATTACTCTTCATGTACCTGTAATTTATTTACAGTTACTTCTGATGTAATTGAGGTAAATACTGTGTATAGATCAATCCGATCTCACAGCGATTCGCATGCATTTTATGAGGTGTCTAAATCGTACGACCGCACTCGTATGTGAATTCGTACGCAATTATTGTAAAATATGTATGAAAATTCATGAGATCAGACATAAAACAATAGTGGGTTTAACATCAAAATGTATTGTCTGATGTTAAAAAGTATGTTTTTATAATGTAACCTTCTCCATCTTGGTCTGTTTAAGGATAATTCATGCAATTTTATAGTATTTATTTGAAAGAATTAAAACAGATTCATGTCTATCCTTGTATTATTCAGCTGGTTGAGATTGAAATGGGATTTTGAAAGTAATTAGTAATTAAAAGTAATTAAATACTTTTTAAAAGAGAGTAATTAGTACAGTAATCTAATTACACTGTTGAAAAGGTAATTAGTAACTAGTAATTAATTACTTTTTTAGAGTAACTCACCCAACACTGGTCGTGACTTATTCACCATACAGCACTAGCAGACTACTGCTCTTAGAAAACAGTCAGCACACAATGCAAATATTAAAGCCAGAAAACATGAAACTATGCAAGCGTCTAATCACTAAAAGCTGGAAAAAATAGTCCCTCCCGTAAAGAGCAACAGAAGTTGCATACATTATTTCACCATTAGATGGCGGCAAACACTGTCTTTATGAGTGAGTCAGTCCACAGAGAGGACTTTTACATTGAAAGGAAACTTGTGAACATGCAACTGACAGATGACTAGCGTAGGGTGACCATATTTTGATTACCAAAAACCAGGACACTCGGCCCATCAAACACATGGGCCAACTCAAATGATACTCGAAGTTTACTCAAAGATACCTTATTAATTTCAATCCATTTAAAGTAGGTTATGCCTCCTCTGTATGGATAGAAAATTGTTATATTGTTATATGCAAACAGGACAGTTGGTCACCCTAGACTAGCGTGTCGTGGCACGGGAAACCCCAGGACTGTTAAAAGCACAAGATATCACAGCGGATTTTTTTATGATAAATATAACGTTACTCGATCTGTCACAATACTCTACCTTTAACGAACAACCAATGAGATCAATGAAGTGTACACCCTCAGATACACGAGAAACTCAGAGCGAAACTTCACCTTTCTGGCCAGAGCGTCAAAGATCCCCCAGAAGAGCTTCCTGGAGAGATGCAGCTCCTCGTCGGACGCGGCGCCGAAGCTCCCCCAGCCGCCCGCCAGACAGTAGTACTTCCAGCAGCGCTCGTAGTGATTGGTCAGGAGCTGCAGGAGGACACGCCCACTCAGAGTTACTACAGTACAGGCTTGCTGATGCGCAGGCGTGCAGACGAGGCTCACCTTCAGAGGCATCTTGGTGTGTTCGTTGAGCACGGGGACGTCGAACACCAGCCGCCGCAGCAGGTGCTGCATCATCGACGGACGCAGCTTCCTGACAGGGCAGCGAGGAATATGCAAATCAGGGCACTATCCAATTAAATGGCATCTCATTTGCATACAATTCCAGATTCAAGACTCTTGTTTGATTTTTGTTCACTCATTATTGTTGTTAGTGGAAATCTCTCCTTATCACTCAAGAAACATTAATGATTGAAAACACTTATTTACATTTATATATTAGGATTATTTGATGAATAGGAAGTTCAAAAGAACAGCATTTACACAACTGTGTTCAACACTGATAATAATCATAAATGTTTCTTGATCATCAGATCCTCATATTAGAGTAATTAATGAAGGATCATGTGACACTGAAGACTGGAGTAATGATGATGAACATTCATTTTTTTATAAAATAAATATAGCCTTGGTGAGCAGAAGAGACTTCTTTAACAAACAAGGAAGAAAGAAAGAAAGAAAGGAAGGATGGGGATCTCCAGCAGCTGTCTCACCCGCACACGGCCAGCAGGCACTCCTCGATGGCGTCTCTCTGCGCTTTGGTGAGACAGCAGCCTTTAGACAGCCTGTAGACGGTGTGCAGCAGCGAGTCGATGAGAGACGCGAACGGCTCCGTCCCCGCGAACAGAGGAGCGCATTTAGTGAGCAGTGGCAGCACTGCGGTGCACAGGTACCGGTTCAGGGCCAGAGCCATGTCTGTGGCACTCAGGGCCGCCTGGGGGTCAGAGGTCACACACAACCAGGATCAGGAGAGGTCAGAGGTCAGCTGGTGTTGGCGGCCCCCGAGTTATTAACTAATGGTCTTAGTTATATCTTATGCAATAGAAGTGAATCAATTAAAACATCACTCTGCGTCTTGTTCCCTCCATCATGAACGAGTGTGTGATGAAACACAGTAAACGTTGTTGTGTTCTCTGGCGTTCAGATGCTGGCGTGTGGGAGACGCTTCTGGAGGGAATTACACCCCATTAACCCTGAACACACACTCAGAAAACACCAAACCAACATTAGAGACACTGCGACGCCATTGGTCCACTGGTTACTCCAGTTATCCAATCACAGGTCAGTTACTCATCGAGGGATTAATGCACATGTAAATTAAAACAATACATTTTTTAATTCACATTTATGCACATCTTGGCATTTCTATACAGCTTTTTTCATGCAATATCCCCAAATTTGCATAATAAAGTGTGGATGGAAGCAGCTAGTGAGGGGTCATGTGACTCACCGTGTCCAATGAGGCGGCGGCTCTGAGGTCAGGAAGGAAACCCACTTCCAGCAGGTGCAGGAGGAAGTTCTGGTCCTCGATGCCGTAAACCCGGTCCAGGAACAACACCATGGCCGCTTTGTGATCAGGACAGAACCCAGCTGACATGTCCGGCTCGATCACGGTACCGTCTGAACACACACACATAATCCAGACTATCAGAACAATCAACTAAATAATCCACGAGGACAAGATTATTACCCTTCTGCTGCTCGCCGTGTGTCAGTCAAAGATGAAGCAAATGTATTTTCTTATGTTCCATAATGTTTTTAATTTAATATTTTGACAGACTGAAGTTTGATCTCTTTTCAAACACGACACTTGGCAGATTATTGCTGAAGTGAAAAAAGTGAACAAAAAAAATGTTACGAAATGTCACAATTTTTTTAATAAAATCTATATTTTCACCAAAATGTTTTACTCTAAAACGAGCCTGATCATAAAATGAGGGTTCAGTGAGAGTGTGTTCGGCTGCAGTTCAAAACTCTCTCGTTCATTTCCAATGCGCTCGTTTCTGACCGCGAGGAGCACAAGTGGGACTATTTTGTACCATTTCAATGAAGAAAATAAATAAATAAACAAATAAACACATGTAAAATATTAGTTCCAAACTGCCAAAAGAGCACCCGAGGGTTCCCAGACCTTTAGCCAGCGTGGGCATGAGGAACGGGATGCTGATCACCCCCACCAGATCCTCAATGGGAATGAGGGAGCGCAGGATGGCTCGGATACGGATGGCCTCTCCCTTCCCGGCGTGGATCAGCTGACGGAGGACAAACACACACCATAGCTCATACATAAGCCTTACACTGTCTCAAAACCACACACAACAACATACAAAGTGTAAGAGTGATAATCTCAGGATCTGATGATGTGCTTTATTTAAGAGTGAGTGTGAGTCTGAATATCATTATCAGCCGTACTGACGGAATCAACAACAACGGATAATCCTCTCAGATCTCCAAAATAAATAAAAGGAAATAAGAACGTTCGATCTGTGACCAAACAAGAGTATTCTATGACCAAGACTGTTTCAGTCTTTTGAGTCGTGTTAAAATGGTGAAATATTTATGAAATTGATTATGTATCCATTTGGTTACGCGTGCAGAGACTCCGCCCACACTCTCTTCTGATTGGCTGTGATCTGTGATTGGTTTGGTGGCGTCTCGTCTGGTTAGGACACGGTGTTGTGTGGGTGAAGATGATTGACAGGGGAAACACACACATGGACTCACATGCATCTCCGGCGCGCAGCGGCCCAACAGGTCGATCAGAGCAGCGTAGAAGGTCATGATGGCGTTCCCCATGTGAATGGTGTCGTCTTCCTCTTCCTCCATCACATCATTACTGCGACACACACAGATCATCAGCGGTGGCATTATAATGTGTGTGAGGTCATTAAATATAAATTGAAAAGTTGCTTTAGCCACTACATGACGGAATAAAGCGGATTGAACAGAAGCTTGATTTCTGGAGCTTCTGTTTCATACACCGTATTTGAGCGCTCATCGATGTTTAAATGTGTTTGTTTGGTGCGTTCAGTGTGTGTGTGTGTGTGTGGTCGTACAGGGTTCTGCTGTCCTCTGTGGTGGGCGAAGGCCCGTCTCGACCGGGATCTTCTGAGATCTTGATGGCCTCCTCCATGGCCGCCAGAAGCCCGTTCCCGCCTTCTCCTCGCAGGGCGGGGCCAAAACACTCCGGCCGGCGAATCAGGAGCCGCACGACCACATTGGCGTTCTCCTCCACGCTCTCACCTGACAGAGGCCGAACACACACAACTACTCAACACACACCATATACACACTACAGAGCACAGGATCTCCATCAGTGGCCATCGTTATTATTATCGTGGCGAGTTTTTCTGTTTGTCCGACATGTGTCAGAACACACACCGTTACAGAAGACTGCGAATCTGAGGAAGTCCAGGTATCGTTCGCCCTCCACCGGGTTCCAGCCGATGTCAGGATAACCTTTCGATATCAGCATTACACAGCTCTGAAGACCACAGCCGGCCAGATACTGGACCACCTAACACACACACACACACACAAATAAATAAAATAAAATAAATTACAACTATTTAAGTTCATTTTCACGTCTATGTTCAGAAAGGCATTGACAGTTCAAGGATCGGTTCACTTCAGAATCAATGTTTCCTGATCATTTACTCTCCCTAATGTCTTTTTCAGGTCATTTTCTAAAAAAAAATAAACATTTATATACTTTTAAACCAGAAATGCTGGTCTTGCTCTAGCTGTGATGCGACACACACTACTGTACGTGATCACGCCGAAAGGTCACACGGGTTCTGGTTCATAAATGTAGAGTACAGTGAAAAACTCTTATTTTCTCCATCGTCTCCATCGTTTATTCTTCTAGTAAATGGTGTTTGACTCAGCCTTTGCACATTCGCTCTGTAAGATCTGTTCTTATGCTGCGTTCACGTGCTGCTATGGAAATAGAATATTTTCCACTTGTGAATTGGTATTTACCAGTGTGTTGCGTTCAAGTGCTTTTATTGTCGTAATGTGGTAAAAAGATGGAGATCAGACCTGTTATTTAGCTAAAACTATTTTAGATTGCTTAAGTCATCTGCAACAGCAAGAAAATGATTTATCAAAACTCAAAAGGTAAATAATATGCTATATATTTTCTAGATCAAGAATAGTATATATTTTTACCATTCACGACTCTCGCGGTGCTCTCCGCCTTTTTGAAAAGTTCAAAGGTTATCTCATCTCGGCAACTCGTCCATCAAAATATTCTATGAGTTTCTCAGTGGAAAATACCACATGAGGGGGTGTTCATGTGCACTTTCCACGTCGGCTTTTGGTATTTACCATAATTACCATAGCACACGAATGCAGCATTACGCCTATGTCCTGCTTGACCTTTCACCCTGATCATGTAATGTGTGTCACATCACAGCTCGTGCAAGACCAGCATTAATGGTTAAAAGTATATAAATTAGAGCCCGACCGATAAAGGATTTTGAAGGCCGATACCGATACAAATATTTTTTGGGTTTAAAAATCCGATATTCCGATATATCGGCCGATATTTTATTTTATTCATTTATTTTTTTAAACTGGAGATGATTAGTCACAAATTTTGTCATGCTTATTTGAGTTAAGTGAACTGATGGGGATGTTCTTTTAATTGTTATTCAAGCAATATATGTATCGTGACCAACTCAACGAGTGTTGCCAACAGGAACGGTCTAGAGCGCCCTCTGGTGGACAAACTATACAAATCCAACACTCATGACATGGTTCAAGCGTGTTTCCTCCATTTTTATTGTATTTTTGAAATATTCATTTATCGGCCATTATAACTGCCGATACCGATAGTTTGGAAAATGCCTAATATCGGCCGATAATATCGGTCTGCCGATATATCGGTCTGGGTCTAATATAAATGTGTATTTTGTTGTAAATGTCGCTGGTTTGTCTAGATCAGACTCTTATTCCTCGGCTGGATCGTGTCGAGACTGTGGAGCTGCACTGAAACTCACATCTGGACCTTCGACCCGTTGGACCCCATTGAAGACACTATATGTGTTCCTCAAAAACCGTCATTTCTTTTCCACTGAAGAGACAAAGACATGAACATCTTGGATGACGCGGAGGAGAGTAAACTATCAGGAAATGTTAAGTCTGAAGTGAACAGGTTAAACTACAGTAATGACTCCAGAAGAGAGAGAGAGATGTGAACCTTCTCGAGGTCAGGTTCCCTCAGCGCCAGAGCCAGTTCATTATTATCCATCACTGAGGCGGCGGCCACATCTAGAGGAGTGGATCCTCTCATCGACGGAGACGCTGAGGAGAACAACACACACACACACACGACTCAAGCTCCGATATCCAGACAGATAGCCCTGGGGGCGTTGCCGACTCTCACACACGAGTCCACTCTCGTTGCTGTTTCCGTGTCCCAAATCACTCACTCGTTTACTGATTCTCTAAGTGTATGCGCATTAATATGCTGAATTATGGGGTAAAATCATACCGTATATTAAAATCATACCCTAAGTAAAAAGTGTAAAAAGTACAGTACTCGAGTAACGATCCACGTCTCTCTTCACACATGCGCAGTAAATGAAACATAACGCCACGCTCGGGTGTGGGAGCCCTGGACTCGCAGTCTTACCCAGACCCACGCTGCTGTTCTCCAGAAGATAGCTGAGGTGATCGAACATGGCCTTCTGGTTCTGACGGCTGATCCGACAGAAGTAGCACAGGAAGCGGCAGCAGTTCGCCACCATCTTAGGAAAGGTGATCTCCTGAGGAACCGGAGGACATGCGTTCAGTGAAACCCAAACGCCTGATCCCTGAAACGCTCACAAGACTGTAAAACTGCTTTGAGGCAATCGGAAATAAACACGACTTGAGTCGGCACCGATGCTGAACCGAGTTACACACTCATCTGGAGTTAGTGATGAAGCTCTACTGTATGCAAGAGATCAGTGTGTAAAGATGTTGAGCAGAAAGAGAGTGTCTCAAAGTGCTTTACAAGAATTAATCAAAAATTAAAATACTTACAAAAGTACAATATAACAAATGCCTTCAAATTAAGTGAAGATTAACATTAGATCATGGAATGACAACACTAGCCAATCACAATCCAGTATTACACAGGAACAGGTCAGGTAAAGCAGGATAAAGCCTGAAACTCTTCAATACAGTGTGTGTGTGTGTGTGTGTGTGTGTGTCTCACCTTGGACTCTCCTCCGCCCAGGACGTTCACCATCACCTCCATCACGGTCTCGTGCATCCCCAGCGCGCGCATCAGGTTCGGGTGCTGGTAAAACACCTTGTTATTCATGATGTCACTGCAGGCGAGACAGAGACAGGCCAGAGGTCAGAGGTCAGGCTGGAATCTCACAAACACCAAAGGGGGGCGTCACTGAGACTACATTCAAAATATTGATATAATATATCTATATTGGTCTGAATTACATCTGTTCTTATTATTTAATAGTATTTTCTCTCGTTCTCTCGCCGTCTTCACCTGAGGCCGTGGATCATGAGCTTCTCCTCCTCGCGGCCCATCCTGACGCTGAGCAGCGAGCGGATCTGGCCCAGCGACGCCAGCAGGCTGATGGTGTCCTCCACGGAGACGGCGTTGATGGTGTAGGTCTTGGGCAGCGCCCGCACCTGACCCCCGATGCCGTCGTACTGCCGGTGGAGGAGCACGAACATGGCCCGCACCAGCTCCGGGTCCTCGATCACCGACTCCTGCGCCCAGCGGACCATGGTCTCCGAGATCAGCTGCTGAAGAGTGCCTGCGCACACACACACACACACATGTGGATATCTGTTTTAACATCACATTTAAGAGCTGCAAAAATAACACGGACACCAGCAAGATCTGTGGTAACATCCAATCCATCTAATTCTAATGGTTTGGATTTTGATCAACCAGCTGAATAAAAAGGCAATAGGTGACAGCAGAAACACAGCGGTTACCCTGTTAGCACTTTTAATGGCTCTAGATTAGCTAAACTGAAGTGTAGAGCTGACGCCGCCGCACTCACTGGGTTTCTTTGCTTTCTTCTTCTTTGGCGTTTCAGTCATTTTCTTCTTCAGGTATTTGACCTTCTCCACCAGAGACATCAGACGACCCCTGATGGTGAAATCACTGTCTCCGTCTCCGGGTTTATCATCATCCATCTCAATGCCTGCACAGCACACACACACACACACACACACACAAAACAGCAAACGCCAAAACATTAGATTGAAATAGAAACCCTTTGACCTCACACACAGCGCTCGTCAGCATTCCACAGTTATGAACAATGACACACACTCAATAGATCAGGAATGAAGATGATTGTCTGACCCCAGTGGGGTCAGTTAAGACACAGTATTGTCATCATCTCGTCTCGTGTTTAGTTGAGGCTGAGCCGTACCGCAGTGTGTCATGAGGTCCTCGTGGAAGTCCAGCAGCTGCTCACGGATGTCCTCGGGACACGGGCAGTCCTGCTTCTCATGCTTGAAATTCAGCAGCATGTTGATCTGAAAACACACACACACTCATTTGTAATGCGACTTGTCTTTTCAAGTGAAACTGAATAAAAAAAGTCACAGGAACTAATGTAGGCACAACTGATTTGAAGAATCCAGCATTGATTTGACCGATATGTCATTTGGTCAAGATAGAGATAAATAAAATATCAATAAAAAATACATAAATAATATATATAATACTGAATGATGTGATTGTCCTACATGTGCAGCATGTGTTATATGAACAGGAAATGGCAGTGGAGCCAGTGTAATCAAAGATCACACAAAGAACACGAATCACATGACAAAATATGATTTCTTATGACTTTTTCTTTTTGTAATAAATAAAATGAAGCATGCGAGCAAAATAAGATGAAATGATTAATGACAATTAAGCACCCTTCCATCCTAAATGCTCATCATCATAATGTAAACACAACACGGTTGCAGCACAGTACACAAATACTGCAATAAACGCATACAACTATTTGCTATTGTTTTTATTATTTGATTGATAACCAGCATGATTTAGATCCAGAAGCACCCCCATGAATCTAAAGTGTGTACTCGGTGTGTGTGTGTGAGCGCGGCTGACCTGCTCCTGCGGGGGCGAGCGAAACTCTTTGGTCTTGCGCGCCGTGAGAGCGGCCGACATGTTCAGCGCCTGCATCACTTCATTATAGCGGAAGCGCTGGTTCTCCTGAAGATTGGCCACGAAGTCGTCGGAGAAGGCGACCACAGCCTCGACGCGGTGACGCACCTGACAGTCGCACAGGTACTGGAGCAGGTGACACATCTGAGGACACACACAGGAGCAAACCGCATTATACGCCAGACACATTCAGCTCTTAAAGGGACAGCGCACCAAAAAATGCCTTTGTGTGGAAAAATATCCGACCAAACGAACGTAGTCCACTTATGCCTTACACTCGTGTCGAAATCAATCAAAACCAATTTACCCCTTACTAAAACTTACATTTCATGTGCTGGCGCACTAACTAGTCACATGACACACTTTTAACATTAAATAAAGCACACCACACACAGTACCTGAGATTATCAGTGTTTGTTGTTCCATCGCAGAAAAATAAAATATAATCGTCGTGTGTGTGGCACTGATAATCTCAGGCACTGTGTGTGTGCTTTATTTAATGTTAAAAGTGTGTCATGTGACTCTGAATATCATTTAGTGCGCCAGCTTTTTAGCCGTAAGAGCAACAATCAGTACAAAAACTCTGATTAACATGGAAAAGAAGCCTTTTATCGCGGCGCGTGGCGTGTGTAGTTAGGACACGGTGTAATGTTACTGTTAATTATTCTAAAGGGTTCGTTCACCCAAAAAAGACAATTCTGTCAGTATTTCCTCACCCTCATGTTGTTCCAACCCCGTAAGACCTTCGTTCATCTTCGCAACACAAATTAAGATATTTAAGATATTAAGATCGCTCCTGCATACTAGTCCATAGGCTTCTTGAGGGAATGACTCTTGCTGGCCTCAAAGTCATTAAAGACGTCGTTAAAATAGTCCAAGTGACTACAGGGGCTCAATCTTAACTTTATCAAACGGCGAGAACACTTTTGTGCGAAAAAAACAACAAAAATAACGACTTTATTTCAACTATTCACTTCCTTCTCCATGAGCCTGTAGTCAGTTAGCGTAGTGTGATTGTGTAGAGCCACGTAACACGAAGGCTCACTATTGGCCGACGCTGGTCATGTGTGTGATGCGTGTGACGTACAATAACAGAAGCTTACGCTATTAAACTAGTAACCTGACTCGAGGCAGAGGGAGAAATAAACCAATAGTTGAAATAAAGTCGTTATTTTTGTTGTTTTTTTGCGCACAAAAAGTATTCTCGTCGTTTGATAAAGTTAAGATTGAGCCGCTGTAGTCACTTGGACTATTTTAACGACGTCTTTAATGACTTTTCGAGTCATTCCCTCAAGAAGCCTATGGACTAGTATGCAGGAGCGATCTTAATATCTTAAATATCTTAATTTGTGTTCTGAAGATGAACGAAGGTCTTACGGGGTTGAACAACATGAGGGCGAGTAAATACTGACAGAACTTTCATTTTTGGGTGAACTAATGATATGTTAGCTGTGTGTGTGTGTGTGTAAAGTCTCTGTACGCGGCTTATAAGGACACGACTGCATCGCCTCACCTGGAGTTTGACGGGTTCAGGAAGCTTCATCTGCAGAAGTCCTTCCTTGGGCATCTTTCCTCTCAGGCCGTGCTCCTCGGCTCCGCCCCCTTCCAGCCGGCCCCGCCCCCCCGCATCCTTAGCCCCGCCCCCTTGGTCCTGCGAGAACACGCTGGGCTCGATCAGCTGCAGGATGGTCTTCAGGTCTCCGTTGTGGAAGATGCCCATGATGAGGAGTGTGTAGAAGAGCTTGATGAGCGGGACGAACAGGAACTCAGTGCTGCCGCCCACGGGGTCGCGCACGTGAAGACTCCCCTCGCGCACCGCCTCCGTCAGCATCTCCATCGTGCGGCTCTTCAGCGTCTCCAGCGGGAACTCGGGGCTGAACTGGAAGCACAGGGAGCTGGAGCCCAGCGGGCACACGAAGCTGGGCGAGGAGAAGCGCATGCGCGGCTGCAGAGACGTGCTCAGGCCGATGCCCGGCAGCCCGTGCTTCTTCTTCTCGTCGGGGAACAGCGTGATGCTCTTGGTCTCCGCCGTCATGGGCACGATGTACTCGGAGTTCATCATGAGGCGCGCGGTGGCGTAGCTGCTCAGGTGGATGTCGATGAGCAGGTCGTAGTATCCGGTGCGCAGGAGGCCGGGCATGTACTTGTTCTGGATGGCGTAGAGGAGCTGCGCCTCGTCAGCGTGACTGCACAGAGCGTGAGCCACGCGGTTGTTCCCCAGCGCGCAGATGGCCGAGTACAGGCGGAGCGTGTGGAAGTGGAACTGCAGCAGGTCGAGCTGCTCCGTCAGCTCCAGGATATCCACAGACCTGGCGGACACACACACACACACACAGCGTCAGTTTAAAATAACCGTGTGTGTCTGTGTGTGTATGTGTGTGTGTGTGTACCTGTTCTCCTCAGGTATATGGAGGGTCATGAACTGCAGCGGTTCTGAACTCTGCACCATCCAGCCCAGTCTCTCGTTGACCCTGGTGACCTCTGACCTCAGGAACTGATTGGGCACACGGCTCCACAACACAGGCGTGAGGAACTGCACATGCAGCCGCGGCGGACACTGAGGAACCACATTCTTCCGTTCGCTTTTAAACAGCCCAGCAGAGAGCGGCATGACACTCTACACACACACACACACACACACACACACACACACGCACACACACACACAGAGTGTAAAGTTGGCAAACTTCATCATCTCACAGATGTTCCTGTGTGAGCTAAACTTAAACTCACCCTGTTTGTGCAACGCAGAGAAAATAAAAATAGCCTCAACATCCTTTGTGTGAGTGTGTGTGTGTGTGTGTGTGTGTTTCTCTCCTAACCCTGAACAGACTCATGGGGACTCGTGTCACTGTGGACCGAAACCGAGGAAACAAGCTGATAAATCATGCAGAATGAGTTTTTTTGAAAATGTACAAATGCAGAAAGTTGCGTGTGATGAGTAGGTGTAGGGGTTGTGTTAGTGTCTCTGTGTGTGTGTGTGTGTGTGTGTGTGTGTGCGTGTGTGTGTATGAAATCTTACCTTGATGCGTCCCAGCTCGAACTGGAAGACGTTTGGACTGGTTGCCTGTGCAAACACTGCAGGGAAGAGTTTAGTGCTGGGCTCCACCTGCACACACACACACACACAGTTCAGCTGTCAGTCAGGGTCAGTGTTAGGGTCAGTGTCAGGGTTAGGATCAGTGTCAGTGTTAGGGTCAGGGTCAGTGTTAGGGTCAGTGTCAGGGTTAGGGTCAGTGTCAGGGTCAGTGTCAGGGTCAGTGTTTGGGTCAGTGCTCTCTCACCTGATAGTAAGTGCTGAGCTCTTTGCCGTTGGAGGTGAAGGTGAGCAGGCCGTTCGCAGAGTCCACCAGACAGCCGATCTCCAGCCCGCTGTTACTGCGGCCCTGACTGGGACTGGAGCACTCGCCCCCCCACACCATGTAGCAGTTACTGCGCTTGATGCTGCACACACACACACACGTATCACACACTGTATGTGTGCATCTGTATGTCTATCTATCTATCTATCTATCTATCTATCTATCTATCTATCTATCTATCTATCTATCTATCTATGTATCGTGATCTATCTGTCCGTCTGTCTGTATATCCAATTTCCATTGACAAACAATAGAGACTTTATTCTCTAACTCTATTTTAATTCTATTTCTGTAATTCCCAGTAGTGTTGTGTTTGTTGTCTGTGTTTGAAACTGTGTCATTGCAGGCAGAATCACACCGACCTCTCATGAACTTTGCCCTTCTCGTCTCCCAGGGTAACGGTGACCGTTCGGACCTTGTTGAGGTCGAAGGCCGGATCATACTGATGAAAGTCTGAGGTCACCCAGCCGACCCACACACTGGACGGCTCCTGGCCCGGGAAGATCCGCACCGAGTAGTAATACTGACACAGAGACAGAAGCGCCACATATAACTGGGAGCGTGCAGGGATATAAAACTTTCGATTCATCTTATTGATTCCTTTCTAAACATTTCAATATAACTTTAAACCATTAATAACATGTGAGAGGACTCCTGCGCTGTTTCCTGTTCTCATGTGTATCAGTGTGTTGGATCTGTGCAGCTCTTAAAGTGACAGCAGCCTAATATAACTCTTTTAATACAATGTTTTGCAATAAGACTTTTTTTATTACCTTATTGGAATAGAAATTAGGAATCGATAAGCAGAATCGAAATTGATCATGTGACAGTCTGATGCTGGTCATGTGACAAGACTTTACTCTCTCACCGTTGATGTTTGTATGAGATTCTCACACTCGTCTCTCTCATCAGCCAAAACCTCCTCTGAGAGACGAGTGCTGGAGTTACTGCTGTTCATGTCGGGCTTCGTTCTTTTCAACATGAACCTGAAACAAACACACTTGCAGTTACAGACACAAACGTCTGACCGAACACTAGAAGTGCAACGGATCAGGACCCGTACGGATCAGGCCTCGCGGTTCCACACGCATGCGATTCACGAATTAGCCGCTAAATTTAATCATCATAGAGTGAAAGTTTATCATTTGGTTTATAATGTATAAAGTCTTGCTAATTTATAGATTCAAACAATTTTGAACAAGGCAAAAATCGAGATTTGAAGCACGCCCACAGAGAGAGAGAGAGATTTTTTGCTGATCCGAAAAATGATCCGAACTGTAAATGAACGAACCGTGAATTTTGCGATCCGTTGCACCACTACCAAACACATTATCAATCACATCAAAAACAGTTCCCCTGTGTGTGTGTGTGTGTGTGTGTGTGTAATCCACCTCTGTTTGATTTTGGAAGGCTTCTCCTGATTGTGATCTTTGTGGTTGTTGAATTCGTCTCGATCTCTGTCGGGCCCGTTCGAGCTCACGTGAGTGTGTGGCGTCTTCATCAGGACCTCAAAGTCCGACACCGTCTCGAAATCCTCCAGATCTCTCTTGGGGGAGAAGAAGCTGCCGTTAGTCGATAGCGTCCCGCCGGGCGAGCGCGCGAACGCCTCCGAGCACTCGATGGGCATGCTGAGCCGGTAGAACATGATGTCTGTGTTACTGTTCTGTGAGCCGAACGACCTCTGGGTGACCTTTAGGCACGGCGGGCTCTCCACCGTCCCGTCGATCCTCGTGACCTGGAACACACACACAGAATCCCGCACGCGCTCAGAATGGTGCGCTCGTCTCAAAGTCGACTCACCTTTATTTATACAGCGCTTTTTACAACACAGTGTGTTTCAGAGCAGCGTGCCTTGCCTTGCCTTGATGCTTCATTTGTATTTGTAAAAAAGTTATTAGTTTAGTTCATTTATATATATATATATATATTTGGGCTCTGGAGAAAAGCGTGATGTCATCGTCCTGCTCTGTTCTCGTATAGTGGTGTCAGAGCAGGAGATCAGTAATATTGTTGAATATTAAATGTCCCCAACTAAGCAAGCCAAAAGCCAATGGTGACAAAGGCGAATAACAGAACATTCAGAACTGGAACATTCAGAATACTGTTTTTATGCACGCGTGTGACCTCTGACCTCTATGTGCTCGTGGTTGAGCGGCACGGGGATGAACTGAGGCAGTCGTTTGCTGATCCACATGGTCAGGTCTCGGTTCATGTTGACGGCGAAGGGTTCGTAGCCCTCCTGCAGGCCACATATGGTGAAGTACTTCAGCGTGCTCACGTCCTTCCCGAAGTTCATCCGGCCCACCTGACAGACGCCCAGACTGCAGACCGGGATGAAACCTGCGGAAAACACACGCCGATCATCAGCACTGCACGCAGGACCATTTCACACACCGCGCAGGATGATTATCACAGGTCACTCACCGTCCCACACTTCAAAATCCTTGAAGGCGAGTTCTGATCCGGAGTCGTCGAGCAGCACTTCTCCGTTGAGCGTGAACATGATGGTTCGCTCGTTCATGTCCACCATACACCCGACCACGTCTCCAGACGCCCAGGAGCGGCCGAAGTGCTCGTTGCCCTGGTGCCAGCGCTGGGCCTGCACACACACACATTCATCATGAACTGAGACAAAATGTGCGTTCTAGTCGTAAAGCAATTTCATCATGTTTAATGTTAATGTGTACATCTAAGTAGAGCGGATTTGGAGACACCTGCAGGCGATACGCGCCGTTACATGAGTGTGAGTGGAATATGAGTGTGAGAGTGAATGTGAGTGTGTGTAGTAAGGATTCACACGTTAACCTGTTAACTGTCACCCCCCCTTTTTTGAATAGACATGAAAATGCACATTTCGAACTTAAATGGTTGTAATTCAAGAATGCTTTGGAATATAGACATATGATTGGTCTTGTTTTAAAGGAGACATTTGGCAGATTTTTGTAGAAGTGAAATAAATTAAGAAAGTGAAACAGAAAAAAAGTTATAGAGGTTTGAGTTTATGGAATGCAAAAATATTAATTATTCATATTTTACATAAAATATATATTTTCAAAACCTGGGCTACTCTAAAACGGCAGAAAAATCAAAGCCAAAAATCTGAACAAGTTGTGTTTCAAATTTTAGGTTGATATCTCAAAAAATGAGCTTTCAGTAAGATTTTGTTTGAGCGCAGTACCAAACTTTTTTACTAGGGGCACAATCAGACTCCATTACTGCCCATATAAGGGCGCCTGCATTTCCATTCGTGTTTTGAGTGATATGAACCATTATTTTCACAATTTTCATACAATTTCTGAAGTAGAGATCCTATTCAGAAGCAGTATGGGAAGTTTGGCAGATTTTGATATGAATTGAACCTCTAAGAAACACATACAACGAACACGCATGTAAGTCATAGCTAGCTGCCACGTCACAAATGGTGAATTTATTATTTTTTTCTTGATATTTCAAACTTTTCAGACCTTTTTTTTCCAAAATAATTGAATGGATTCTATCTTTTGAACTTTTGGCATGAAAACAAACTGAGGTATCTACCATTTTTTCATGATTTTTCATGTTTACTGCTATTTTAAAATAAAGGTCTGAACACGCCTTATGAGTATGAAAATATTCTTGTTTTATATTGATAAATTATGGCTCCTCTGTAATATATTTTGAAAATCAGTCACCAAATATGGAAACTAGAGATTGTAAGCTTTCAAATGATATATAGTTTGTCAATATTATTTAAGGTATTTACTAAGATATTATTGTTTTAAAAATATAGTGGCAAACGTCCCACCTGTGGGACGGTGAACACGTTTAGCTAGCATGATACAGATGCAGGTGGACATGAGTGGCTGCGGGAGGTTATAGTTCTCAAGCTTATGAATATGATCGGCCACACGATCTCATGAAAGTGTGTATCTACGGCACTGGCATTAGCTTAACCCCCTAACCCATGGCCTCGAGAACCTTCAGACTTCAAGCTTTAAAACGTCAAACTCTCCGGCTCAAGCAACATCAGAGCTTGTCTACAAACTTCACTATCTAACTGCTATCCTGAGCGGCACTGATGAACTCACACACAGTCAGTGTTTCTGCCCACAGTTCTATTATTATCCTGTATTATTACAGTGTTGTGTTAGCATGAGGTAAAGCTAGATCAGTGACTGTAATAGGGTTTATTCAGAGGCTTGACCTTGAACCCGTCGAAGACGAAGGCCTGCTCGTCCGATCCGAGCTCCTGGTCCGGCAAACACCCGGGCCGGGCCCATCCCACCCGCATCTCGCCCGCCGTCACCACCTCCAGCTCGAAGTACCAGCGGCCCACACTCACGCTGTACGACTTCTCGGCCCGGAAGATCCGGAAGCGCTCGGCAGACAGAAGACCCTCGTCTGCTCGACCAGCTGCGCAAAACACACACGATGTCCGCATATGCAAATGAGGCATCTGCTCATTAAATGTGCACTCATTTGCATACATTACCAGAACATTGCATCATATCTAAAGCCAGATATGAAAAGCTCTTTTTTATCACTCCATAAATCAGAAAATACAGTCAACAGACAGAAAATCATCATTTTGATCATGTTTTTAGGAGTAATCTATGGAAGATTGTTTCTGCCACAGAATTTTTTTTAAAAATAATTGCGACTTTTTATCTCAGAATTGTGCGTTTATATCATGCAATTCTGACTTTATAACTCGCATATTGCGACTTCATATAACGCAGTTTTCACAGTTACCTTTTTTATATTTTATTCTGTGGTGGAAACAAGCTTCCATAGTAATATGTTCTATAAATGATTTTATTTTAATTTGAGTAAGTTTGTTGTGTTTTTGTCATTGTTATTTGTTTTGTTTTTAAATGTCTATATGGTTTTTATTAAGTTTAAGTTTATTTATCAGTTTTTGCTATTTTTGTACTTCAATTTAAATAAGTTTTTGAAATATTTAATTTTATTTCAGTTAATGTTTAATTTATTTAAAGTAATGAAAATGTTATTTTAGTATCATTGATATACCATAAGTTCTACCACAATTTTATGTTGTCTGTTTTTATTTTCATTTTAGCTAAAGTTTCATTAATTTTGTTGTGTTTTTGTCCTTTATATTAGTCTAGTTTGTTTTTATTTGTTGTTATTTTATAATATTTCGATTTTTTATAGGATATTATATTTTTTAAGTTTTAGTAATTTTGTTGTGTGTTTTTGTCCTTTATATTAATCTATATGGTTGTTTTTATTTTTAGATATTTTAGCACAAAAGTAGCAACTAGCTGAAATAAACCAGTTTTATATTTTATTTCATTCCAAGTGGTTTTAGCTTTAGTTAAGGATAATAACCCTGCTATGATGTCACATGAGCACCACGGGCAGTGTGTGTAGTGTGTGTAGAGCGTGGGTGAGGCTCGCGGTACCGTGGTCCTGATCCGGAGCCTCCAGGTTGTATCCGTATCCCAGCAGTGTCCGCACAGCTTCCCGAAGACTGTCCTTGTTTGATTTCTTGGTCCTCTCGTCCAGAAGAACGTAGGGAACGAGGCGAGGGTTCCTCCGGCTCTTGATGTCCTGCAGAGACACAGAGACGTGTGTGTGTGTGTGTGTGTGAGCGATGCATCCTGACCCATACAGACGTGAACCTGCTTCAGTCTCAGTGCAAATCACAGTAGAGTTCACAGTCATTTCTAATGGAAATTGACTAGGGGTGTAACGGTACACAAAAATCATGGTTCGGTACGTACCTCGGTTTTAAAGTCACGGTTCGGTACGTTTTCGATACAGCAAAAAGAAAGAAATGCCAGAGAAATTTCCTATTTGTTTAAAGAAAAAATATTTTTAAATAAGTTCGAGTTTTCCTAGATCTTGAAACTTTCAGGTTTATAAATGGGGGTCATCTTTGAAGGATGAACAAATAATGTTTTGGTCATCACATTAAAAATAACATTTAAATATATGTTTATTTATCTAATATTTGAATTTTGAAGTGCTGGAAAAAGATGTGTGAAGTACTTGAAAGCATTTCACCATTCCAGCCAAACTGGTTCCAGTTAGTGTTACTATATTAAATCCATGGTGAATGTTGCTGGTCTGTGGACGAAAGTATTACTAGTTCATTCACGGCACAATGTTTCTCCTGGTTTCCATGACAGCGCTGAGATCTACGGTTAATAACGGAGAAATGTGAATGCATCTCACTAGATCTTGCAGCGATGTTATTACCTCAGTGGCGAATTCAAATGTTTTCTTTACCGGATCTCTTAGCGCTGTGTAGTAACAGTGTTGCTTGATCGAGATCGGCTCGCGCTGCACAGATGTTGCTGGTCCGAACTGATAAACGATCCGTGAAGCACATAACGAGGAGCGCAGTTTCGTTCTGCTTTCATTACGCTTGCCATTTGGATGTTGCACAACGTTGTGTTGGCCGCGTCAGCACGAATTTTGCCGGCAGGAAAAATGGTCCAAGCAACCGTTCGGTTTGTATGCGTACCGAACCGGAAGCCTCGAACCGAAACGGTTCAATACGAATACATGTACCGTTACACCCCTAAAATTGACACACTGACCTGCTGTATGCCGTACGTCCAGCCCTGCCGGATGCGGTCTCTGGCCCACACGTTGTGAGCGTTCTCTGCCAGTTTGTCCACCATGGCCTCCTGGGTCGAGGCCAGTTTGATGTGGCTCAGGTCCATCGGGGCCGGTTTATACCCGCAGGAGAGCTCGTACCTGACAGCAGAACACACACTAACACACTCTTGGCAGAACAGGTTCTGTATGGGGGGTCTGAGAAAGCCATACATCAGCGGCTCACTCATAAACCTGTGTGTAGGATCCGCACTAAAAGTGATATTAAATATTAGGCATATTTAATCTAAATGTGTGTATCAGATGTAAAGCAGAGTTTAAATCATTATTTTATGTATTTAAACTGTTATTGTGAACATCACTGTATTTAGGATTAGGACTCGTAATGAATTTTAAAGTGGTTTTCCTTCATCAGTCGCTCAGATCATCATCGGTGTCGTTAAACTGATCCGTCTCCAGATGTTCTAGTGTGTGTTTATAGATCACAGCTCGTGTGTGGGACGTGGCATTAGGGTTGGGGTTAGACTTAGGGTTAGGGTTGGGGTTAGGGTTAGGGTTAGGGTTAGGCGTGGGAGGTGGCGTACACATGGTTATAAATGATGACCCAGAGCTAGCACTGACTGGACGTCTGGCGGTCACAGCAGTCTGAATATATCCACAGAAACATGTTCATACGGCGAAGTTTCACACACTCACTTGGCTGGAAGCTTGAGATTTTTGACGTTCTCTGCCGCTCGTTCATCAGCCACGCCGACATGACAGCCGAGCGCAAGAAGAGTCCTGCACACACACACATCAGATCTCTCACACACACATCAGATCTCTCACACACACACACACATCATCACATCATTCATCTATAAAGCTCTTTTAATTAAACCGCCACTATAGATGTAGTTATGACACACACAGCGGTTACACTTTATTTCGATAGTCACTTTAGACATTCTACTAACTATAAGTAACTTTTCAACTACATGTCAACTAAGTGTCATTAGAGTATTAGTAGGTTGTAGTAGACTGTCACTGTCAGTAGACTGTTAGGTTAGGGTTAGGTGTTAGGGTTCAGGTTAGGAGAACAAGTTGACTTGTAGTTGCTAAGTTACTTACAGTCAGTTGAATGTCTGTTGGGGGACCAACAAAATAAAGTGTTAGCAGATATTAAGCTGACAGTCTACTAATACTCTAATGATAGTTAGTTGACATGTAGCGGCAAAGTTACTAATAGTAAGTTGAATGTCTAAAGTGGACTATCAAAATAAAGTGTTACCTTTTGGTATTTGTGAAAACATCCAGCAGAACATGACCAGAGGGCTAAAGCTCATTTGAATATAGAATTGTCCCCAAATAACATAACATTCAATAAAACTGAATGCACACATGTTCAATTATAAATAAATAGTCATTTCTGGCATATCCTGACCTCGAGCAAACACACACACTCTAGCATATCTCGACCTCGAGCAAACACACACACTCTGGCATATCCTGACCTCGAGCGAACACACACACTCTGGCATATCCTGACCTCGAGCGAACACACACACTCTAGCATATCTCGACCTCGAGCGAACACACACACTCTAGCATATCTCGATCTCGAGCGAACACACACACTCTGGCATATCCTGACCTCGAGCGAACACACACACTCTGGCATATCCTGACCTCGAGCGAACACACACACTCTAGCATATCCTGACCTCGAGCGAACACACACACTCTAGCATATCTCGACCTCGAGTGAACACACACACTCTGGCATATCCTGACCTCGAGCGAACACACACACTCTGGCATATCCTGACCTCGAGCGAACACACACACTCTAGCATATCTCGACCTCGAGTGAACACACACACTCTAGCATATCCTGACCTCGAGCGAACACACACACTCTAGCATATCTCGACCTCGAGTGAACACACACACTCTGGCATATCCTGACCTCGAGCGAACACACACACTCTAGCATATCTCGACCTCGAGTGAACACACACACTCTGGCATATCCTGACCTCGAGCAAACACACACACTCTAGCATATCTCGACCTCGAGCGAACACACACACTCTGGCATATCCTGACCTCGAGCAAACACACACACTCTAGCATATCTCGACCTCGAGCGAACACACACACTCTAGCATATCTCGACCTCGAGTGAACACACACACTCTGGCATATCCTGACCTCGAGCGAACACACACACTCTAGCATATCCTGACCTCGAGCGAACACACACACTCTGCATATCCTGACCTCGAGCGAACACACACACTCTAGCATATCTCGACCTCGAGCGAACACACACACTCTAGCATATCTCGACCTCGAGCGAACACACACACTCTAGCATATCCTGACCTCGAGCGAACACACACACTCTGGCATATCCTGACCTCGAGCGAACACACACACTCTAGCATATCCTGACCTCGAGCGAACACACACACTCTAGCATATCTCGACCTCGAGCGAACACACACACTCTAGCATATCTCGACCTCGAGCGAACACACACACTCTAGCATATCTCGACCTCGAGCGAACACACACACTCTAGCATATCTCGACCTCGAGCGAACACACACACTCTGGCATATCCTGACCTCGAGCAAACACACACACTCTAGCATATCTCGACCTCGAGCGAACACACACACTCTGGCATATCCTGACCTCGAGCAAACACACACACTCTAGCATATCCTGACCTCGAGTGAACACACACACTCTGGCATATCCTGACCTCGAGCAAACACACACACTCTAGCATATCTCGACCTCGAGCGAACACACACACTCTGGCATATCCTGACCTCGAGCAAACACACACACTCTAGCATATCTCGACCTCGAGCGAACACACACCACTCTAGCATATCCTGACCTCGAGCGAACACACACACTCTGGCATATCTCGATCTCGAGCGAACACACACACTCTAGCATATCCTGACCTCGAGCGAACACACACACTCTGGCATATCTCGATCTCGAGCGAACACACACACTCTGGCATATCCTGACCTCGAGCGAACACACACACTCTAGCATATCTCGATCTCGAGTGAACACACACACTCTAGCATATCCTGACCTCGAGCGAACACACACACTCTGGCATATCTCGATCTCGAGTGAACACACACACTCTAGCATATCCTGACCTCGAGCGAACACACACACTCTAGCATATCTCGATCTCGAGTGAACACACACACTCTGGCATATCCTGACCTCGAGCAAACACACACACTCTAGCATATCCTGACCTCGAGCGAACACACACACTCTGGCATATCCTGACCTCGAGCAAACACACACACTCTAGCATATCTCGACCTCGAGCGAACACACACACTCTGGCATATCCTGACCTCGAGCAAACACACACACTCTGGCATATCCTGACCTCGAGCGAACACACACACTCTGGCATATCCTGACCTCGAGCGAACACACACACTCTAGCATATCCTGACCTCGAGTGAACACACACACTCTGGCATATCCTGACCTCGAGCGAACACACACACTCTGGCATATCCTGACCTCGAGCAAAACACACACACTCTAGCATATCCTGACCTCGAGTGAACACACACACTCTGGCATATCCTGACCTCGAGCAAACACACACACTCTAGCATATCCTGACCTCGAGTGAACACACACACTCTGGCATATCCTGACCTCGAGCGAACACACACACTTACTTGAGCGTCTCCTGTGACATCTGCAGGTTATAGCTGCGCTCCTGTTCAGGAAGTCTGGAGAACTCAACCAGACACGGATGCTGCCGTTTATTATCGTCTCTCACCTGCGTCCCGGACAACAGAGGCAACAACACAACACAACACACTGTGACCAATCAGAGAGCTGGAACACAGACTCCCAGAGGCTCGAGGACACAGTTCTCAGTAAAGTCAATGTTTTGTTCAATTATCGAAATATATATATATGTGTGTATTGAGCTGATGAAAATGTTTGGGAATCGCTGATTCAGCAGAAGCCTTTGAAACGTCCGTAGAAGAAACAACAGAAGGGGTGTGTGTGTGTGTGTGTGTGTGTGTGTGACGCACCGCTCCGTAGGTCCAGCCGAGGTCGATCTTGTTCATCACCCACAGCTCATGGATGTTTTCTGCCAGTTTCTCTCGGATCCGCTCCAGATGTGGCGGCAGCACGATCTACACACCAGAAACACCAGCACACACACACACGATCATCACACATATTCATAACGGCACAAAGAACATGAGTGTGTGTGTGTGTGTACCTGACTGGTGTCCACAGGTGTGGGGGTGAAGGCCGCCTGTGAGAGTGTGACCGTGGGCCCGAGGAGGTCTCGTGTGTGTGTGTGTGTGTGTGTACCTGACTGGTGTCCACAGGTGTGGGGGTGAAGGCCGCCTGTGAGAGAGTGACCGTGGGCCCGAGGAGGTCTCGTGTGTGTGTGTGTGTGTGTGTGTGTGTGTGTGTGTGCGTGTGTACCTGACTGGTGTCCACAGGTGTGGGGGTGAAGGCCGCCTGTGAGAGTGTGACCGTGGGCCCGAGGAGGTCTCGTGTTCTCCCGTGATCATGTTTATACTCCTGACTGTTCTCCACTCTCAGCTTCTCTCGCGGTAAAACTGCCTCGAAACACGGAGCGTAACCGGATGGAGGCAGGAACTTGAACTCGCCATGACGACCGCCCAACAGGAAGCGCACTCTGAGGAGGAGGAGGATGGACAGATGCACTTTCACAAACATCAAAACAGAAAACCATTCCCTGCCATCATAGAGCGGACTGTGTTCGTCTGACAGAGGAGTGTCGTCAGGTTCAGGGGCGAGGAAATCAAGGGCTAATTTTCTGGGTGAACTATCCCTTTAAGTGGCAGACGACAAAACCGCTTCAGCCAATCACAAGCATTCAGGGCGGGGCCGTGTGTCAGACTGACCAGTGAGCTCAGGGGGCGTGGCTAAAGCGACTCACTTGACTCCAGCGGAGAAGGACACGACGGGGAAGAAGAGTCCGTCGGAGTTGAAGTTCTCGAACATGCCCTGGACCGGCTGGCCGTTGATCCGGAAGGAGATGCTGGGAGCGCTGAGGTCCAGGCAGCAGCTGACCACGTCCTCGGCCCGAAGCAGGTGCTGATTGGGTGAGCTGACCGAACGCGCCACGCAACCTGCCAATCACAGACCACGTCACAGTTCGCACCATCGACTACGGCTCACTGAACAGTGATGTTACATCATCAGCAAATATCTCACACACACGTTTACTCCGCTATCCAACACTGGCTTATATACTGGTTTATATACTGGTTTATATACTGGTTCATATACTGGTTTATATACTGGTTTATATACTGGTTCATATACTGGTTTATATACTGGTTCATATACTGGTTTATATAATGGTTCACATACTGGTTTATATAATGGTTCATATACTGGTTCATATACAGGTTTATGTACTGGTTCATATACTGGTTTATATACTGGTTCATATACTGGTTTATATACTGGTTTATATACTGGTTCATATACTGGTTTATATACTGGTTCATATACTGGTTTATATACTGGTTCATATACTGGTTTATATAATGGTTCATATACTGGTTCATATACAGGTTTATGTACTGGTTCATATACTGGTTTATATACTGGTTTATATAATGGTTCATATACTGGTTCATATACTGGTTCATATACAGGCTTATATACTGGTTCATATACTGGTTCATATACTGGTTCATATACAGGCTTATATACTGGTTCATATATTGGTTTATATACTGGTTCATATACTAGTTTATATACTGGTTTATATAATGGTTCATATACTGGTTCATATACTGGTTCATATACAGGCTTATATACTGCTTCATATACTGGTTTATATACTGGCTCATATACTGGTTCATATACTGGTTCATATACTGGTTTATATACTGGCTCATATACTGGTTTATATACTGGTTCATATACTGGTTTATATACTGGTTCATATACTGGTTTATATACTGGTTCATATACTGGTTTATATACTGGTTCATATACTGGTTTATATACTGGTTCATATACAGGTTTATATACTGGTTCATATACTGGTTTATATAATGGTTCATATACTGGTTTATATACTGGTTCATATACTGGTTTATATACTGGTTCATATACTGGTTTATATACTGGTTCATATACTGGTTTATATACTGGTTCATATACTGGTTTATATACTGGTTCATATACTGGTTTATATACTGGTTCATATACAGGTTTATATACTGGTTCATATACTGGTTCATATACTGGTTCATATACTGGTTCATATACTGGTTTGGATTGTACATGTTTTGACCGATAATTATAGCCGCTAATGATTATGTTTTAGATGTGTACCCCTCTACATCGGTACACATGATTCTGAAGCTGAAAGAGCCGCATATAAGCACAGCATAACAGTGAATAACACTTGATTAAAGAACAGGAAGTTCTCGTGACGTTACCTGCCCACAGGTGAAGGCCGTCAAAGCTGTACGAGTAGAGGTCGTCGCCGACGCCGTTGCCGCCCCATCCCTCTCCTCCGCCCGGGTACGGCCCGTATCCCTGAGTCGAGGCCCAGCCCACCCGCAGGTGCGTGGGCTCGCCCGTCACGAACGCCTGCACCTGGTCCACGATGAGCTCATAATACCACTTCCTGTACTGGGCGGAGCCTTCACTCACACCCAGGAAGATATTGGGCCTCATGCTGATGAGCGACACAGAGATGGAGTGATGAGAGATACGGCGTCAAACACTACGCCTTAAAATGATGTACTCTGTTTGTGGAGAAAGTGTGTATACTCTTGAGTGTGTAGCAGAAGCGTTGGGACACACTATCAGTCTTTACCGGCTGCTCTCTGTCGCTTCTTTACACACACCCTGTCACTCAAACTGGCCTGTCAATCATCTTGCCAAAGATAAAATCCTCCACATTTCATTTCCTACTGCATCGGAGAAAGCAGCCGCGGGTCTTTCACACGGAGACTCTCCTCATATTCATGTATGACGATGTATTTAAGAGTTAATGCTAAACGGGTCTATGTAAAAGTCCACGGTGTTATTGCAGATGAAATATAACAGATAACATTAAATAAACATTTTTCTGTCAGGCTAAACTCACTCTAAACCCCTCACCGTCGCTCGTGCATATTCGCCAAGTTTTGTAGTCTTCTACACTTTTTACTCGTGTTTGTAATTCCTCCTCCTAAACACAATGGATTGTGGGTAATATTAGCCTTTACAGTGAGCACGGATCTACACTTCGAGATCATCCGGGGACTCTTTTCAACACACTATGCTTCAGGACACACTTATTTTCATCTCACACACTGAGACGCAGGGTTAGAGTGCTGGACAGGAAGTGATGCGTAGCTCCCGTACCTGCTGACGTGGTTGACGAGACGGGTCTGGAGCAGCAGGTCTCGGCCGGGCAGCAGATTATCACAGATCAGGTGCTGATTGGAGCGGACCGCCACCCCGTGACACACGCACAGAGAACACAGGACATCCAGAACCTGAACATCACCACACACCGCCGTCAGGCAAGCTAACCCAAGGCTAATCGCCACCAGCTAGACAAAGCCATCTGACAATGCACTTTGAAGATATTTATTTGAATAAAATCAAACAGATGCAAATACTTTACAATTAATTATGCCATGAATCAATTTCCGAACAACAGGCAGATCAAAACAGATCAATAACTCAATTAACACCGACTAAATCAACCATGAAAACTAGGAGCTGAGCTTGATCCACACGGGCACGATCACACAGGGCGAACTCAATCAACAACACCACATGAGCATTAAAGAGTTTCACACACACACACACACACACAGTCACCTTGTGGTTGCGTCCATGCTTGTCCAGCAGTGAGATGATGGATTTGATGTGTCCCTCTTTAATGATGTTCAGCGCTTCTGGACTCTCCACCAGAACACAGTGCAGAACCTCCAGAATCCCTGCACACACACACACACACACACACACAGATTACAACCATCACATCACAGCACACACACACACGTCACATGCCACATACCTGATGACGCTTCCAACCGCTCCAGACGACTGATCAGCCAATCCAGAGAGCTGGAGAACTGGGCACAATTCTTCCTGTTTCCTCTGATCAGAGCGGCTACACACACACACACACACACACACACACACACAGGGAACAGATAACTGAATCACAGCAGTATATGTGTAGTGTGTGAGTGTGATCCACTACACCAGGGGTCGGCAAGCACATCTGGCATCGGGCCAAACAACATCTCTCCACTAGATGGCGCACCAGAACACAGTCAGAGGACCGTTTAAGACGTGAGCTGATGAAAATGCGGATAGGACGGCCTGTGCCAGACTGTGTTTGAGACTGTAGTGAGCTGTTCCTCTGTGTTAAACCCTGCAGTCGGACAGTCATTAACAAAAGCCACATTTGTGCAATGTGATAATGAATAAAGCAGTCGTGACGAGTAACCTGGCCTTGCTAAAACACACACACACACACGTGGGAGATGCAGAACGGATGAAAATAACTCAAATAATAAAAGAGGACTTGAACAAGCCCAGCCTATTCATGTTATATTTGAGTCACTGTTTTATTTTCATCTTTCCATATCTGCCATATTTTGAAGGCAATATCAGTTGTGGACCTCGGGCGCCTGTGGCCGACCACTGTTCTAGATGATCTACTAGATCCGAGATACTATACATCATACCGAGCAGCTCGTAGAGGGAGTTCAGGATGGACTTCCAGGATTCTCCGGCTTCTTTACCAGCAACATCTGCGAAATGAGCCGCACTGCTGTAGACATGCAAGCGATCGATACACTCCAGCACCAGGTTGATCATTCCCTAGAGACACACACACACACACACACCAACATGTTGTACCAACAATACCAACATCGTCTCAAACCTTTCTCCTAAAATCCCTCACTCAGATGAAGAGAGCAATCATCCGTTCAGAGTCTACAGCTAAACTGATTGTGTGAGAAATATCTGAGGTGGTTTGAGTTAACTAGTACTGTTACAGCAGAAACACTCCTCTGTTCCACGTTAAATCAAGTTTGTGCTCATAAGCGAATCTTCACAGAACACACTTCACTAGAGCAGCTCAACACTAATGAGATCGCCTCAGTCAATCTGTGTTTTATTAAAGTTATTCAGAGACAATTTAAACATTCTTATTATTATTTATACTTCATTATTTCTCCAGAACAGAAGCCCAGAGATCATACCCTATTATGTTATATGTTAAGGCCCACAGTCTTATGTCTGAATGTTAGATGTAGTGTGAGATTAAGGGTTTTATGGGTATTAGTGTCACGGTAACAGAATCATCACAGATTTCTGATTAAAACGAAGCCCGTTGACGTTGTGTGCGTTGTGTGTGTGTGTGTTGATGCGATCCGCACCTCCTCCTGGAACAGGTTCTGTCGGCTCTTGAGGGCCCGGAGCCGGTTCTGCTTGTCCTCGTGCTCCAGGTGCTCGTCGGGCGGATGAAAGTATCCGATCAGATCCTGGAGACTCAGACTGACTGACTCGATGGGCAGATCCAGCGCCGAGGAGTTTCCCCTCTTACTCAGAGTGTCCAAACCCCTGACGAAGAGGAGGAGTGTGTGAGTGTGTGTGTGTGTGTGTCACTTAATGAAGCGGTTGTGTGTGTGTGTTACCTGATGAAGCGGTTGAACAGGAAAACTGTGCTGCGTATGACCCTAGCGGTGCGCGACTCCTCGTGTTGTGATCGCGAGAGCGTCAATCCGTCATCCATGTGACCCTCATGATGCATGATGGCCTAAAACACACACACAAACACACATCTGTGCATTACATTTATCATCCACACACACTCATCCTGTCAAACCCTTTCATATAAAACAGGCGATGGATTGAAATGATCGATTCTTCGATCGATTGGATCTTTAGTCTGTGCTGTTTTCATCTGATGCCTGAACTCAACTGTGTTCAATATTATTCGTCCAGTACTCACTGTGAGCTCTGATACATCTGATATGAAACAAAGTCTCAGCTTACAAATTCGGTCAGTTTATCACTAAATTCAGTCAATAAATGTGTGTTTGTGTGTGTTAATGTGTGTGACAGATACCAGTTACAGCAGCACATAAACATCAGCAGAAATGATGAAAGATTCATGTCTCATCAGTGTGTCCACCGTGGAAAGACGTCAATAAAACAGCTTGAGAACACTAATGCACCTCAGAGAAGACCTCAGTGACCATAAACTCGAAAAGTTAGCAAAAAAACATATAATTATGTCATTCATCTTTTTTATTATAATGAAAACTGCCTTATGTGCAATTTAAATGTTGTTTAGCCGGTAATATTATAGTCATGTAGCGAGGGACAGGATTCCTGTTTAATTTACAGAGATTTCTTCCATGTTCAGAACCTGATTTCTATCAATTCCATTTCTTTTTCACTGTATTTCTATAGCACATTCAATGCAACACATGTTGACAAGATGTTCAGGACATTTAAACAGATTTACATTACTGACCTTACCGATATCAAGAGTGGAACTGAATCGATGTGCAAGCTTATGAATCAGAGTGGAATGGAGTCATGAACTGAACGCCAGCGCTGCGTGTTGTGTTGAGGTGTGTGTGTGATGTGTAACGCCGGTGACGCCGCACCTTCCTCTGGACGCCGCCCATGCGGGCACACTTGGCATCCACAGACTGGTACGTGAGCCAGAGCCCGGCGTCCACGTGCTGGATGTAGCAAACCGAGTCTCCGTATTTAATGTCTGGGACGCCCATGCCATCCACCTCCTTCCTCAGGCCAAAGTCCAGCTTCTCCTGCAGGACAGGGAGCAGAGGATCATGGGTAAACACTCATGCTGACCTGAGAAGAGTTCAGCAAAAATATCCATTCAGTTTGACTTTAAAAGCTCTCAACGCAGAAACTCAAGTGACTAAGTCGAGTCGTATCTATAGATCAATAGTGACAAAACAGCCAACAGTTGTTCATTCTTCAGCTATAATTCAAAAATTGAAATTATGACATATTATAGTCATATTTATGAGATGATATTCTAAACCTTAATTATGACATATGACAGCGGTGGCCAAAATTGTTAGAACACCTGACAGATCTGAAAATATTGACCTTTTTTGCCTCCAAAACATGATTTAATGCCATAATGTTGCTGAGACATGCAGAGCACCACACACGCCAGATGAAGTGAGTCGGACTGCTTTTATGGCCATCTTTTGCAGTGATTAGAGACGAGTGAGAAATCAAACACGGAGGTCATGAATGTACAATAGATCAGTCCAGTTTATTCTCCAGGTTTGCTGGATGGGATGAGGAGTGGACTTCAGGTCATCATTATTAATCCCAGCAATAGTTAGCAGAATGTTTAGGGTCATCGCCCTCTTGGAAAATAACAACTGAAGCCTCTTCAATATACCAGACCTGTTCTAATCATTCTGGCCACTGTGTGTTGAAATGGACACATAATTATAACATAAAAAAAATCTAAATTCAGTCTAAATTCAGACAAAAAGTTTAAATTATGATTATGACTTTTTATGTCATAATTTCGACTTTTCAACTTGTAATTATGACTTGCATATCCTAAGTTTGACTTTTTGTCATAATTATGATTTACTAATAATTATGTGGCTTCCATTCAATCCTGTTTGCTTCCTGATTCAAATTCAGGATCGTCATCTACATTCTGGCTCGTATGCAAATGAAGTGATGTGATAACGAGGCGTTAGAAGCTCGGCTGATTGTCAGTCTCACCTTTGAGGAACGGAAGCAGAACGCCGTGGATTTGATGTCCGCTTTCTCCTTGTCCATCAGCAGGAGCCCTTGATCCTCCATCATGCTGAGATATTTCCCGGTGGTCACGTGACGCAAGCGAAACGGCTGACCCCAGCGGACGTGACTGCCGCTCCACCTGCACACACACACACCATTTTCTAATGATAATGTGAGAAATGTTAAAGGTGTGTGAGTAAATTTTGGTTTGCCTGTATATTTATATAGCACATGAGTCACATGTTCTGATGGAGCTGATGGGTGGTGTTCACACGCGTTTGGAGGAGCGCGAGTAAAGTGACGTCTGACGCGGAGCAGAACTGTGCTGGGCTCCTGCTCCAGAGTTTGGCCCCAACCCCAAAATGCCACTTTTGATAAAACGCTTCCAACTTCAGCGTCCTCCGTTTATTTTTAGTCAGAGACGTCCTGCAGTGTGTAATTAAAGGCTTCATGGGAACAAACGCTGCTTCTGCTGCCAGAACGGTCAAACCTGAGACCAGGTGACATCATCACTGCGGCATCATGGGCTCGTTCAGGGTCAAACATGAGTCTGTGCTCTACGTTATCAGTCTTTTAGCTCATGTCACGTGCATTTTCAAAAGTGTGAATTAAAAATAGAACTAAATTGAAGTCCTCATATTAGAGTGATTTGTGAAGGGTCATGTGACACTGAAGACATATTCATAAAGCTGATGATAAATTCAGTTTTGATCAAAGGAATGAATGACACTTTACTGTATATCCACATAGGAAACAGATGATTTACACTGGAGTAACGTGTAGGTGATCAGATAAACAGAAGCTTGGTGACTCTTTATAAAACCTAATGATTATTCCACATGTTTGACTGGTCGTGTAAACAACAGAAATGCAACCGAATGAATCTGATTCACTGATGCATTTGATTCTGTGTTCAGTGAGTGATGCTTTCGGGAACAGAACACAGATCGTTCACTCACGCGACCCGCAGCGTCTCCAGCCTCCACAGGGATCGGGCGTGGATGGACACGGCTCCACCCTCGTAATGCACCGTCCTGAGGAGACACACACAACACCACACTCTGAACATCAGACTATATTTGTCCATTTCTGCTTTAAACAGAATAACGAGAGCAGAAACACAAACGAAGCAGAGCTCGGAGCAAACTGACTCGTCAAGTCCTCTTTATTTCTGCAGCGCTTCACACAGTTCATCATTCATAATAGTAATACACACGAAATAAGAGAGTCAGTGTGTGTTTAGTACCAGTGACAATTCAACACTTAAAATAAACCTTTGGCTGGATTTTATCATTAATAGCCATAATTGTTCTGATTTTCAAATTAGTTAAGTATTTTATTTTACCTCGATCTCCTGCTCTGACAGCATTATACGAGAACTGAGCTGAACGATGACATCACTGAGAATAACTTTTTTACAGCAGAAATGAAGCGCTATTCTCTTCTGGAAACACACTTTAATTATTCTCCTGTTATCTCTGTAAGCTGCTCTGAAACACTGTGTTGTAAAAAGCGCTGTATAAATAAAGGTGACTTTATTTGATGGATTTTATATGGCTGGAAAAAAGCCCTCATGAAAGGTAGAAATGCCCTTGAAAATCAATATGAGAGGGCCTTTATTATAAATATTCTATATTATATAGCCCTTTATTTACACCAATAATGACGTCACGTCCTGTGCAGCAAGACCCATCACATTAAAACAATAGTATTGTGTGTGAGCCTCTTGAATGTTGAGAAGCAGAGACTGCAGACGTGCATCGAAACATGAGAAACACACACACACCTCCACACATCCCACAATGCAGCACTCCTCACAACACGCTTGCGTAACACTCCTATTAGAGTTAAAAGAGACGAATGGATACAGAAAGCTTTGAATTCATCGTGCATTCAGAAGCAGACGTGACTCGCTCAAGGCCGGCGGTGACGGGAGAGAGAACAGGAAATCAAGCAGACGGCTCGTGTGTGAAGCTGAGGTGCTTATGTAACCGGTTCACTCGGCGCGCTCAGGCCGGGATTCGAACCGGCGCTAACACGGGCAGCGTCGCTCGAGATCAGGGGAGTGAGGTTTACAGCTAGCCTTCATTACACAGACTCCAGTTATATTCAGCTGTCATTTATTTTTAATCATCAAGTGTCTGATGAGTTTTTGGAGCAGTGTTGGGGGAACTCATTACAAGTAACTTGAGTTAAGTAATCAGATTACTTTTTCAATTTGAGACAGTTACTTTATCAAATAAGTAACGCTAGTTGCTTTTTCACATTTATTGACTGACAGCTCTCCTGTCCTTATGTTGAGAAGAATAAAGTAAGGAGGAGTGTGTGTGTGTGTGTGTGTGTAAACATGATGGTTATTCTAGTTCTAGAAAGCCCAATTGTATAGTTCTGCAATGCTGCTGACCTTCAATGATCTAATTCAACCATACTAATAAGCAGAAATGACTTTAGGTTAGAGTGCTGAACTTCCTTCTTCTGTATTTAATCCAGAAGTTGGATTGGTTTGAGCGGCGCCCTCTACTGTACAGGAGTAAATACGCTTTTCCCTCAGCCTGAGGATTATTTGTTTCACTTTTGGTGTGAAGGGTCTAAACACTTGCCAAAAATAGATCTTTTTTTTTGTTGTTATTAAAAAACAAACAAACATGCAAGACCAGCCCAGGTGAGAAAAGTAACACAAAAGTAAAGTAACGTATTACTTATCGTAAGAAGTAACTAAGTAACGCAATTAGTCACTTTTTTGGGAGTAAGGCAATATTGTAATGCATTGCTTTTAAAAGTTACAGATTGATCTGGATCCCAATCTCTCAGGGAACTGAGACCGTTCTTTCTGGGTTGAATAGTTTGCCGTCGAGAGAAGAGCAGGATAACACACTCATATCCGCCCGATGTCCCAGAGAGGACAGGTGTTTCTGTAATTACAGCAGCACACACACACACACACACACACTCACACGAGATCTCATTCTGTCTCACAGAACCTCACCAGGAGACCCGAGAGACTGTGTTCCTCCTGGAGAAGGAGTGAACGGCCTACTTCAGCCGAGCCGGCGCTGCGGTGAGGAACGTGTTCTGCATCTCATCTTTCCTCTGTCTGTTCTCCAACACCAGATGATCAAACTCCGCTTTTATTTTGATGCTGTTTTGATTGGTTCCCTTCACATTTGACGACTGAAGTGTATATGCAGTAACGCATCACAAGTGACGTGCATTACGTAATCAGATTACATGACGAGTAAAGTGATGCATTACTTTCTACATGTATTCATTCATATTTGAGTTACTGCTTTAAAAAAGTAATGCTTGTTATATTTTAGTTTAATTAAATTGCTTAAGGTACTGAATTAAAATTCTTCCACTTCTCCATAACGCAGTCACTTAGACATGAGCGAACAGAGGACACTATTTATTCAGAATAAAAATGTGTTTCTAAAAGAAATGAAGGTGTGTGTTATATAGACTGTTGTTGAGTGCATTACAGCATTAATGAAAAAGAGATCAAGGCTCACACATTGGTTTCCATAAGACGGAATTAGTTACTTAATAAGGAGTACCCACAATGCATTCCTTTCCCCCAGCATTGTCCCGATCGCTGAGCTTTACAGAGGTCGACCTCAGACCGCCGACACCACAGCCATCAGGAGTGTTTGACCAACCTCTCCTCACACACACACACACACACACCACAGCATCTCCACTGCACCCGACGCAACCTGTCTCGCCCCGTTCACCACAGGAGCATTAAAGGCTTTCTGTCCGATGAACATCAGCATCTCAGCCGAACGTTCTCCTGTTCATGCGCTTTCAAACCAGTGAATCTGCAGCACTTTTCCAGCTCTAATGATTTACTGGATGAGGATTAAAAATGCATATTCTGGTAACACTTTACAATAAGGTTCATTAGTTACCATTAGGTAATGTATTCACTAACACAAACTAACCATGAACAATATCCGTATTTGTTTATCTTTGTTAATGTAGGTTAAATACAGCTGTTCATGTTAGTTCACAGTGCCTTCACTAATGTTAACAAGATTTGAATAACGTATTAGTAAATGTCGAAATTAACATTAAAAAAGATTTATAAGTGCAGTTCATTATTAGTTCATGCTAACTAACGTTGTTAACTAATAAATCTTAGAGTAAAGTGTTATATCCTATATCCATTCTTTATAAAACTGCACAATGGTTTTTAGGTCAACTGGTTATTTCTACCGCGCTTCATACACTACAGATCATCACAGTCCTGAACTCTGACCTGCGCTGTTCTTCTCCATGTTCTCCTGACGGGACGGTCAAACACTCGTCCATGTGACCATGCAGCAGCCGCAGAACATCTCCACCAATCATGAAGCCTGAAACACATGTTGCAGATTAAATGAACAGGAAGTGAAACGCAGTCACTCAATAAATCACTCACTCACTCACACACACACACTCACACACTCACTCACTCACTCACACACACACACTCACCCTGAGCCACTTCACTGCCGGAGCAGATGGGCGCGACGCTCCACAGTGTTTGCTGGAAAGCCGCATCCACGTGTAAACTACCGTTCCCGTACGACAAGTGCTGGAACAGAGATCAGAGCTGTCACTCAAACACTGAAGACAGGAGGAAGCACATCTAGCTTCTGCTATTCTGAATGATGTCTGAAACTGCATTACTAGTGTATTATATTTCTGATGTTTATTGCCTCTTTAAAGGTGCAGTGAGTAATATTTAGGAGGATCTGTTGACAGAAATGCAATATCATATGAAGAGTTCAGATGCAAAAGCCTCTAAATGCCATTTGAAACTTTCTTCTTTAATGATTATTTTTATCAAACTTGTAAATTTAAGTTCATTAATTTCACTTAAATAACAATTAATAGGTAATTATCATTGCCATTTAAGTGAAATCACTGAACTTAAATATACAAGCTTGATAAAAATGATCATTCTAGAAGAAAATTTCAAATGGCACTTAGAGGCTTTTGCATCTGAACTCTTCATATACATAACTATGTTTTCAGTGGTATATACTTACATAGTGAAACCATTATGTATTAATTACTTTAGAATGAGACATTTCTATCTACACACACCGCGGGTTCACTTACATACACACGCATTTCGTCACTATGTTGTAAAGAAGCTGCTAAAGTCAGCGAATAAAACACTGACCCAATGATGAACAAGTAACAATAATATTCGCAATAACATAACGTTTTAATGAACAATTAAGTCGATCTAATTTCTTAATGCTTGTAAAGAAATCTCATTGTTTAACTGGCTACTCTGCTGTCTCAGACAATGACATCACTTCCTGTCGGCCACCATAACTTCTGTTGGTTGCAATTTGCAACCTCACCACTAGATGCCATTAAAAATCACACACTGCCCCTTTAAGATGAACACTTATTGTTTTCCTCCTCCGCAAGTCACTTTGGATAAAAGTGTGTGCTAAATAAATCAATGTGCAGGAGATCCTGGACTCACATCAGGGTTCGAGTGTGTTCATACTCACCAGGTAACGTTCAGACGACACGCTGACCAGGATGAGGTCGTCCCCCACGCGCACCTTCTCGCCCTCTGACCTCTGTTTGGATGCCGGGTGGATGGTCCACCAACACGCCTCACCTGCACACACACACACACACACACACACACACACACACACACACACACACACACACAAGCGTCACTGTAAACCTACACAGATCCATTACAGACATCACATCAGGAGTTCCACAGCATGATATTTTTGATTATGAACAAACATTCTTCCACTAACATTAATAGAACATTTGTTCAACGTAATCTGGTCTTTAATAATGTTCTCAAAACATTAGCACAAAAAATCATTTATGGAACTTTTTAGGACTTTCCAGAACGTTCAGAGAACATTCAAAAGTAACATTCCTATAATGTGTGAAGTTCGTTTTACAAGAAAATACTATTTTAGTTTTTCTAGTTATTTTTTTATAATAATTTTGTGAAATTTACGGGCAATTTCTGATGTGAACTGTTCTAAAGCCAATTTATTCCAGGGCTTTTAACCCTCAAACTCTCTGTGTTCAGTTCAGACTCTTGGGTCTGATTTTCATTCCCATGATTCCCTTCAGTCTGACAGTGAGGATCATTAATGATAATAAAAAAATGTCGCACTGCAACAAAACAAACTCGAAACGTTCCTGAGAACAGGCTTCACTCTCATTGATTTTATTCCTTCCTCCTGATTTTGTGATTAAATATGACCAGCACGTGTTCCTCAGAAAAATGACTTTTATCTGGGAATGTGAGCAGGAAGTGACATCACCTGTTGTGTCTTCCTGAAGCCCCACATCAAAAGCCAGTTTGTCAGTGGACGAGCGAGCCGTAGACAGACAGCACAGATACTGGAGAGAGAAACACATCAAACACATGAACCTCACACACACACACACACAGACGTGTGATGTGCCATCAGAGTAACACACACCATCCCACTGTAGGAGTGTCTCAGTAAGACCGCGTGACCGTAGAGCAGCGTCCGGTGACCTCCGCCCTGTGCCGTCTGAAACACACACACACACACACACACAGCATTGATCACTGATACAAACTCGTGACTGTTCAGTGAATGTGATTCATAATCAATATGACACTTCACTGATACACAGCAGAATCACAAACAACGCTAAACACACACATACACATACATGCACAAAACAGCCATAAACACACACACACACACACACACACACAAAAACAGCCCTAAACACACACACACACACACACACACATATATACAAAACAGCCATAAACACACACATACATACACAAAACAGCCCTAAAACACCAACACACACACACACACACACACACACACACACACACAACACACACACACAGAACAGCCATAAACACACACACACACATACACAAAACAGCCCTAAACACACACACAAATATTGTTAATCTAAATTATAACATTTATATACAGTATATTTAATACAATATTTGTAAAACTCGTTTTAAAACAGTAAAAGGACACAAATTGCAATTTACACGCCATAAAAGAACAAAGAATCCCGACACATCAGAGTGTTTTTCCATGATGAGGGCTGATGTTCCTGGGATTCAGCACTTCCTGTGTCCGTGTGTGTTAATGGCTCTCTTAAGGCTGTGTGTGTGTGTGTGTGTGTGTGTGTGTGTGTGTCAGGTAATGGCTGCAGTAATGCTTCAGGACAGGAAGAACAGGACCTTTATTTTCTCATTAGATTTACTTCAGTGCTCACTCTCGTCTCGCTGGAATTAGCTCACAGTACAGCTACATTACACCACATCACATGACTGATGACAGGACGCACAACAACACACACACACACACACGGAGTCCTACCTTCATCATGAATTTCTGTGGCCCATAAGGAGAAGAAAAGGCATGGTTAATGACACGAGTCCACAGCAGCGCGACGCTCAGGTCGAGGAGCACACTAACACACGGGAGTATGCAGTATCAACTACAACATCCAATACCCTATCCCACAATGCAACGTGCTCCATAAATAGGAAGTCATATCAGCGGCCTTATTTGATTTTTACCTGCAGGTAACTGATGTCACTCATTGATGACAGTGTAACACTACAGTTTGAGATGGTTCATACTGCATACTGTCAGTCACATGATCTAACGCTTCCCTGATCAAATGAAGCTCTCAAACACAAATCTAAATGAGGAAGAAGATCGTAATGCAACTCTATAATCAGTGAAATACACGTTCTTCAGTCCTAACATGTTGAAGGAGATGGAAATGTGTCTTGATTGAAGAATGTTGAGATATTGGTACTGGAGAACAAGACACACACACTGAGGAAGAGCAGAGCTAACAGACGGTTCATGTGAACATGAGAAACACCTTCATGTTGATCAACCGTTCCTCAGCGTTCTGCTAACGTCAGTGTCACGCGCGTTTGATTCGCTAGAGTAAACCATTCTCAGTCTGAGCCGGTCCGTTCATGAAGGAAGAAAGCAATGGGGTGAAATAACGACACATGCTGGATACGAGGAACATGCTGACCTCAGATCAGGTGCACGACACGCATGCAGTAACGTATACACGTGTGTGTGTGTGTGAGAGAGAGAGAGCATGTGTGTGTGTGTGAGAGTGTGCGTGCAGCGTGTGTGTGTGTGTGTGTATCCACGTACCCATTTCTCCATGTCTATGAGCTGTGGAGTGATGGAGACACAACAGAAAGAAAAGAAAGGAAAGATCATGCTTCCATCATCGTGAAGAAACACATCAGGCCCCTTCATTTCAGCAGAGGATGATGGGAAATCTTTTATTTGCAGTTCAATCCTTTAATTATTTACTGTTAATTCTGTTCCCCACTCAACCCAAAACCACCTGTGGGGTCATCAGAGGTCAACAAGAGGTCGCCTCTGCTCGTCAATGAACGGAACCGTGATGTGGATGTTTTATTTAGCGTCGAAAGGCTTTTTTGTTTTTAGTCACAAAACAAAAGATAAAACATCATTTCCTGGAGCATGATCACATGATTAGAGAGTCAAATTAATTATTAGATCATTAACAAATGAGTCACAGCTGGAATGAGAAGGAAACAGAAGATAGGAGATGAACCTCTGATCACATGACCCAAAGGAATGTGACAGATATATGTATATATGTAATAATCCCAGTTTAGTGTGAGCGAGTCTAATGTGATTATGAATTCATCAGTCCAGAATGAGATCTGAGATCTGCAGGAAGAGCTTCAGTCAATGATGATCTACATTTCAGTGTGTATCTCATGAACACATCACATGACTTTAGCACATCTGGAATCTTTAAGATCTGTGGTGTGTTGTTGAGAAGAGCAGCGGGGATTCAGTTTGATGTATTTTTGGTTGAATTGTGTCGCTTGAGTCAGTCACACGGATCAATAAAACAAATATAAATGTTAAAAGTGTTTAGATCTCAAATCTCAATTTAATGTTAATGGTGTGTGTGTTTTGGTGCAGTCTGCCCAGCCCTCCTAAAAAGAGAGGAATCTCACTCTCTCTCACACACACACACACACACACACACGCACACACACACACGCACACACACACACACACACACACCCCAGATCAGATTCACTGCATTGTGTAGGACCAAACTCATCCACGCATCAGACTTCTATAAATGCGACTGACATCACATCCTCTGCGCGCCTGCAAATGTGATCTCGCCAACTGGACCTGAAAGAGAACCGTCACCATTACAGAGTGAGTCAGAGAGAGAGAGAGAGAAAGAGAGCAGCGACTGGTTTTGATCTTCCTTTTCCTCCTCCACATCTAACGCTTGTTCACGCGCAGTGAGACACTTCTGCATCGCCAGCATCCATCTGTGTGTCTCTCTCTCTCTCTCACTCACACACACACACACACACTGCATCTCACTGCTGCACTCAGCATTTACTCCTCCAGGTCTTTGCTTTAATCCTGCACTGCTCCACACACACACACACACACACACACACACTCACTCACCCCTTCCACCCGCTCCTCACACACTCACTCACTCACTTACTCACTTACTCACTTACTCACACACACACACACACACACACACACACACACACACACACACACACACACTCACTCACTCACACACTCACTCACTCACACACTCACACACTCACACACTCACACACACACACACACACAGACACACTCACCCCTTCGGCTCGCTCCTCACACACTCACTCACTCACTTACTCACTTACTCACTTACTCACACACACACACACACACACACACACACACACACACACACACACACACACACACACACACACACTCACTCACTCACACACTCACTCACTCACACACTCACACACTCACACACTCACACACACACACACACACAGACACACTCACCCCTTCGGCTCGCTCCTCACACACTCACTCACTCACTCACTCACTCACTCACTCACTCACTCACTCACTCACTCACTCACTCTCTCACACACACACACACACACACACACACACACACACACTCACCCCTTCGGCTCGCTCCTCAGTGTTGGCCAGCATCTCCTGCAGGGCTCGCACCGACAGCGACTGCTCCAGCACAAACGTGCAGATGGACAGATCCGGGGGAACATTCTGGAAAACACGACATCAGGTCATTTAGGCGAAGGTCACGTTCACACACACTCACACACACTCACAGCACTCTGACGGGTTCAAAACTTCAGTGAAACATTCATGTCAGTTTCATGAGCATCTTGTGTCGACATGTTATGATCAGGATTACAATAAAGAGTGTTTCCACATTATTTTACTCAATCAGTCAAAGGTCATGTGTGAGCGGTGAGATGACGGAGCTAAAGCTCGCTGTACCTCAGGAGAAGTAGTGTTTATGAGGAAGATGATTAAACGATAAACAGACACACTCAGCTCCATCAGTGCAGTACAGTCTCGCTCCAACATACCCGATACACACATCACACACACACAGTTTCATTTTCATTTGTATATTATTTTTTTATAATTTTCACTTTCACACTTGTCAAACTGTCCTATGGAAGCTTATTTCGGCCACTGAATAAAATATAAAAAGGTAATTGTGACTTTTTCCTCACAATTGTACTTTTTTTTCTTATAAAGTCAGAAAGTAATGACACTTGCATTTCTGGAATGTCAAAGTTATTGCAATAATTATTGTGAGTTTAGTTGGTGCTTTCTGATATGAGTCGTACCTTTGAGTTGGACGTGGACTCGAGGAAACAGAGTCTGTTCCCGAAGCCCTCAGCAGCCAAACACAGCTTCTGCTGCTCCTTATGGAGGAGGGTGGAGCACTGGAGGACCACCTCATCATCCTGAACACACAACACACACACACCTCATCATCCTGAACACACAACACACACACACCTCATCATCCTGAACACACAACACACACACACCTCATCATCCTGAACACACAACACACACACACCTCATCATCCTGAACACACAACACACACACACCTCATCATCCTGAACACACAACACACACACACCTCATCATCCTGAACACACAACACACACACACACACTCATCATCCTGAACACACAACACACACACACCTCATCATCCTGAACACACAACAAACACACACCTCATCATCCTGAACACACAACACACACACACCTCATCATCCTGAACACACACACACCTCATCATCCTGAACACACAACACACAACACCTCATCATCCTGAACACACAACACACACACACCTCATCATCCTGAACACACAACACACACACACCTCATCATCCTGAACACACAACACACACACACCTCATCATCCTGAACACACAACACACACACACACCTCATCATCCTGAACACACAACACACACACACACCTCATCATCCTGAACACACAACACACACACACACCTCATCATCCTGAACACACAACACACACACACCTCATCATCCTGAACACACAACACACACACACCTCATCATCCTGAACACACAACACACACACAACAGCTCATCATCCTGAACACACAACACACACACACCTCATCATCCTGAACACACAACACACACACACCTCATCATCCTGAACACACAACACACACACAACAGCTCATCATCCTGAACACACAACACACACACACACCTCATCATCCTGAACACACAACACACACACACCTCATCATCCTGAACACACAACACACACACACCTCATCATCCTGAACACACAACACACACACACCTCATCATCCTGAACACACAACACACACACAACAGCTCATCATCCTGAACACACAACACACACACACCTCATCATCCTGAACACACAACACACACACACCTCATCATCCTGAACACACACACACCTCATCATCCTGAACACACAACACACACACACCTCATCATCCTGAACACACAACACACACACACCTCATCATACTGAACACACAACACACACACACCTCATCATCCTGAACACACAACACACACACACCTCATCATCCTGAACACACAACACACACACAACAGCTCATCATCCTGAACACACAACACACACACACCTCATCATCCTGAACACACAACACACACACACCTCATCATACTGAACACACAACACACACACACCTCATCATCCTGAACACACAACACACACACACCTCATCATCCTGAACACACAACACACACACACCTCATCATCCTGAACACACAACACACACACACCTCATCATCCTGAACACACAACACACACACACTCATCATCCTGAACACACAACACACACACACCTCATCATCCTGAACACACAACACACACACACCTCATCATCCTGAACACACAACACACACACACCTCATCATCCTGAACACACAACACACACACACCTCATCATCCTGAACACACAACACACACACACCTCATCATCCTGAACACACAACACACACACACCTCATCATCCTGAACACACAACACACACACACCTCATCATCCTGAACACACAACACACACACACACCTCATCATCCTGAACACACAACACACACACACCTCATCATCCTGAACACACAACAAACACACACCTCATCATCCTGAACACACAACACACACACACCTCATCATCCTGAACACACACACACACCTCATCATCCTGAACACACAACACACAACACCTCATCATCCTGAACACACAACACACACACACCTCATCATCCTGAACACACAACACACACACACCTCATCATCCTGAACACACAACACACACACACCTCATCATCCTGAACACACAACACACACACACACCTCATCATCCTGAACACACAACACACACACACACCTCATCATCCTGAACACACAACACACACACACACCTCATCATCCTGAACACACAACACACACACACCTCATCATCCTGAACACACAACACACACACACCTCATCATCCTGAACACACAACACACACACAACAGCTCATCATCCTGAACACACAACACACACACACCTCATCATCCTGAACACACAACACACACACACCTCATCATCCTGAACACACAACACACACACAACAGCTCATCATCCTGAACACACAACACACACACACACCTCATCATCCTGAACACACAACACACACACACCTCATCATCCTGAACACACAACACACACACACCTCATCATCCTGAACACACAACACACACACACCTCATCATCCTGAACACACAACACACACACACAGCTCATCATCCTGAACACACAACACACACACACCTCATCATCCTGAACACACAACACACACACACCTCATCATCCTGAACACACACACACCTCATCATCCTGAACACACAACACACACACACCTCATCATCCTGAACACACAACACACACACACCTCATCATCCTGAACACACAACACACACACACCTCATCATCCTGAACACACAACACACACACACCTCATCATCCTGAACACACAACACACACACACACAGCTCATCATCCTGAACACACAACACACACACACCTCATCATCCTGAACACACAACACACACACACCTCATCATACTGAACACACAACACACACACACCTCATCATCCTGAACACACAACACACACACACCTCATCATACTGAACACACAACACACACACAACAGCTCATCATCCTGAACACACAACACACACACACCTCATCATCCTGAACACACAACACACACACACCTCATCATCCTGAACACACAACACACACACAACAGCTCATCATCCTGAACACACAACACACACACACCTCATCATCCTGAACACACACACACCTCATCATCCTGAACACACAACACACACACACCTCATCATCCTGAACACACAACACACACACACCTCATCATCCTGAACACACAACACACACACACCTCATCATCCTGAACACACAACACACACACACCTCATCATCCTGAACACACAACACACACACACCTCATCATCCTGAACACACAACACACACACACCTCATCATACTGAACACACAACACACACACACCTCATCATCCTGAACACACAACACACACACACCTCATCATCCTGAACACACAACACACACACACCTCATCATCCTGAACACACAACAAACACACACCTCATCATCCTGAACACACAACACACACACACCTCATCATCCTGAACACACAACACACACACCTCATCATCCTGAACACACAACACACACACACCTCATCATCCTGAACACACAACACACACACCCTCATCATCCTGAACACACAACACACACACACCTCATCATACTGAACACACAACACACACACACCTCATCATCCTGAACACACAAAACACACACACCTCATCATACTGAACACACAACACACACACAACAGCTCATCATCCTGAACACACAACACACACACACCTCATCATCCTGAACACACAACACACACACACCTCATCATCCTGAACACACAACACACACACACACACCTCATCATCCTGAACACACAACACACACACACCTCATCATCCTGAACACACAACACACACACACCTCATCATCCTGAACACACAACACACACACACACCTCATCATACTGAACACACAACACACACACACCTCATCATCCTGAACACACAACACACACACACCTCATCATCCTGAACACACAACACACACACACACACCTCATCATACTGAACACACAACACACACACACACCTCATCATCCTGAACACACAACACACACACACCTCATCATCCTGAACACACAACAAACACACACCTCATCATCCTGAACACACAACACACACACACCTCATCATCCTGAACACACAACACACACACACCTCATCATCCTGAACACACAACACACACACACCTCATCATCCTGAACACACAACACACACACCTCATCATCCTGAACACACAACACACACACACCTCATCATCCTGAACACACAACACACACACACCTCATCATCCTGAACACACAACACACACACACCTCATCATACTGAACACACAACACACACACAACAGCTCATCATCCTGAACACACAACACACACACACCTCATCATCCTGAACACACAACACACACACACACACACCTCATCATCCTGAACACACAACACACACACACCTCATCATCCTGAACACACAACACACACACACCTCATCATCCTGAACACACAACACACACACAACACCTCATCATCCTGAACACACAACACACACACACCTCATCATCCTGAACACACAACACACACACACCTCATCATCCTGAACACACAACACACACACAACACCTCATCATCCTGAACACACAACACACACACACCTCATCATCCTGAACACACAACACACACACACCTCATCAAATATTGTCAATCAAATATTTTGGGGTTTTAAAATCCGATATTCCGATATATCGGCCGATATTTTATTTATTTATTCTTTTTTTTTTAAACTGGACATGATAGTCACAAATTTTTTCATGCTTATTTGAGTTTAGAGAACTGATGCGCAGGTTCTTTTAATTGTTATTCAAGCAATGACCAACTCAACGAGTGTTGCCAACAGGAACGGTGTAGAGCGCCCTCTGGTGGACAAACTACACAACTCCAACAATCATGACATGGTTCAAGCGTGTTTCATCCGTTTTTATTTAATTTTTGAAATATTCATTTATCGGTCATTATAACTGCCGATAGTTTGGAAAATGCCTAATATCGGCCGAGAATATTGGTCTGCCGATATATCGGTCTGGCTCTATCCTGAACACACAACACACAGCTTCTGCTGCTCCTTATAGAGGAGGGTGGAGCACTGGAGGACCCTAACCCTAACCCTAACCCTAAC